TAATTTTCTTTATTCGGTATATTAGTTGCATTATATTAGAATTATGTATTCTAATATATTATCTAATTAATAAAAATGACTATTTTGATTATTTTTAACTATTTACTATACTGCTAATATTGAATTAGCTTTTTATAGTGTAAATTATAATATTTGTCGAAATATTAATTATGGATTCGAACTTTACATGCTAATGGTGCTTCATTTTTGTTATTTTCATTTACTTACATATTGAAAATATACTTGAATAGTAGTTATTATTATTTTATTTAGCTACTGAATTTTAGGATATGTTTTACCTTGAGGTCAAATATAATTTTGAGGAGCAATAGTTATTACCTACTAATCTTTTATCTGCTATTCCTTATTTAGGAGCAATATTAGTAAATTGAGTTTGAGGGAGATTTACTGTTTATAATGCTATATTTATTATTTTAATATTTACCTACTGGGTAGGTAATTATTAAAATAATAAATATAGCATTAGTAACTAAATAGATATTTTTTTTTAAATTTTTAAAATTAAAATTTTCGTATTTTTAAAAATTACTAAAAAAAGGGTTTGAAATAATAAATTTTCTCACAAAAGAAGGGAACTTGAAAAAAAAGGAAAAAAAAGCGGGACCAAAGCCAAGACGCGAACCACGGAACTGCGATATCACGCCCGACCGACATACCACCTGAGCTATAACGACCGTTAATGATTAGTCGAAATTTACCTTCTTATATTGTAGCAGTTTTTTTTATTGCCTGAAAACATGGACAAAAGGACATTTTCTAAAAATAAATCCAAGCATTCGTCGCTAAAATCGTTGGAGCCGTATAATTTTCTCATCTGGTTCGGTTATATAAATATTTAAATATATAAAAATTATAAATTAAAATGAAAAGGTAAATATACATTAATATCAATAAAATAAAATAAATACAAAATAATATTATATTATTATTGTTATTATTATTATTATAAGTTGTGGTTCGGTGAAGCTGCAACCTAATGGACCATGATATGAAAAGTGGTTGTTGACGTCATTTATTATTATTCTTATTATTTTTTCATTACTACCTTTTTCAACCTCACGAGATATTTGTAACTGCAAAAAAAACTACGTATAAGTAAGTAAATCAGTAATATAGTGTTATGTATGATTCAGACTAAATAAAGGTTCCTAAAAATAGACGTAGATAAAGAAATTGCATAAAAAATTACTCAAATAAAAATGCAATAAACTTGTTAATTTTATAGGTACTTAGTAAAATATTAAAATAATAAGTTTTTTAGGATATTTATGTAAAATATAAAGGTTATATTATGTTCTAACTACGTTCACGCTTGCGCATATAAAACCGCGGAATTTCACTAGTTTTATTATCAAAATAATAATTGTCAACCCTACCCTAAGTTTGCCTTGATTTTACCAACTCAAACTCGTTTTAGGAGATCAAAACATAGAGAGAAAGATAGGAGACTATTTTTTATTTAATATGGTTGGATCTTTATTTATTTGTATATTTTTTGTATTTATTTTATTTTATTGATATTTATGTATATTTATCTTTTCATTTTAATTTATATTTATAAAAACCAACCAGATGAGAAAACTATACAGATACCCCAACAATATTAATATAATAATATTCCACAAATATCACACAACGCCATCTAGTCCCAAGCTAAGCAGAGCTTGTGTTATGGGTACTAGACAACTGATAAACATACTTATATATTTCTAAATACATTAATATTATAGATAAATCATCACACAAACATTTGTCCTGGGTGGGAATCGAACCCACGACCTACGGCATAGCAGTCAGGGTCACTAACCACTAGACCAACAGGCCTGACGATAAATAAAATAAAGTCTCTAGCTCGAGAGGAGAGGAGCCGTGGTAGCTCAGATGGTTAGCGCTTGCTAAAATTTTCACAGTGTGCGAGCAAACCGGGTTCGATCCCCGCCGGCACCAATAATATTGTAATTGCAATTTTAAGTGTTGATTTACTACGTGCTCAGTGGTGAAGGAAAACATTGTGAGGAAACCTGCATGTCTGAGAAATAAGAAAAATAATATTTCGAAGACATGCAAAGTTCGCCAACACGCAGTGGGGCAGCGCGGTGGATAATTCCTTTCCTAGGACCCTTTCAGAAAATAGAATAGAAATAAAAAAATAATAAATCCAAACTTCATTTAAAACCAAACATATAAATTGTAAAATAGCTGCAGGTATCTATAACCAAGTAAAAGATATTCCTTTACTCCAACTTGTCCATGTTTCCCAAAACAATTTTTAATTAAGCTTTATATTATAATGCGGATTTTTTTATATTTAAAATTTTAATAATAAAGCATTTCGTACGTCTCAGCCGAGGCGCAAATATTTTTCGGCCGCAAATTTATAAGACCGATTTGTTATTCAAACATAAACATGGTTTTTTAATTAAATCTACCAATCATAAAACGACACGCATTTTTATTGAACACTTCCTATTCAATTCACAAAGTACCTATTATATTTGTTTATATAAAAAAGTATATTTAAGTACAATCATAAAACTAAATGGAAACACAAAGTAGGAAAATGCATTGAGTTATAAAACACATAAATCAATGGGCAAATGTAAAAATACTGGAGGCAGCAACCCTATCGCATGTTTACGTACCGCACGGCTGTAATATTTATTTCTAAGATACGGCCGAATTACAATATACCGTGACGTAAGGGCATCGGTTGGTAGGTACTCAAATAATATTATGTTTGCGGCGAAATACGGACGCGGCGACCCAGCGACGCGGCTACCCCGTATGAACGCATACAGCGTAATGCCGCCCGCACTCTGCGCACGCCCCTTTATCATAGAAGCCACACAATTTTCGGAATTATTTCAATTAAAAGAGAAAAAACGAACTTAAAAATTTAAATAAAACGTGGAGAATATAGATTTTTTCATTATCTATCCATTAGTGTTATCCTCAAATGATTAGAGCGTTGCGTTTAGCAACAGATGCATGTAATCAAGAATTTTAGTCATTTTTTAAAAGTTGATTTTAAATGTATTTATAGCACATAAAAATAAATTAGAACGTGGAATGCGATGATAAGATATCGAACATTAATAATGTACTTTTAGATGTAGTTTATTTTTCATAACTAATGAGATATTAGAGTCTGAAAAATGCACTTTTGCCAGGTTTTGGTCAGGGTAGCGTCTTTTTGAGTCGAAGCGTGTAACGCTAGGGTTGATATCGAACCGAAATGGAATATTATAGACTTGTACCAGAGAAGAAACATAGTAGGTATGTGTTATATATTATGTAAACTTATGTATTTGGGTAGTGAAATATACGTTCAATTTGAAATCAACTTTTATTAAATGAGGAATATAAAAACTTCCGACAAAACCAAATATGCACGACAGTTAATGGTAATCTTAAATAATTAACCAACACTTATTTCAGTATGCAATAATCAGTATTACCTACCATCCTTTAAAAATAATTTACTTTTATATATTTAGATATTTATTGAAAATTTTTTTTTCGATAAATTTTTTAATTTTCATTATTATTTCTAACAACTGCAAAAATTCGTAGCATGTATATTTTTTTTAGAAAATCCAAAGGTATGCAAGTTTCCTGGGACATGGCGGCCAACAAATTGTTCCCTATGTGTTGAGGAGATGTCATTTCTATTTCTAATAAAATAATCCATAAATACAACAATGAACAAATACAAAAACTCTTTATAGATATCTAAAATTTCTTGACTCTAGTGGTATTTTTAATAGTGTATATTTCAGTTAATGTAATATAATAAAATTATTGGCGATATATTAGTTTTATTGTCATGGTATTTCCCCATAATTCTTGTTAAGATCATATCGACTTTCATTAAAATGAGTTCACATATTTTTGGGCATCATAAAACATTATTAAAAATTAAACTAACAAAACAAGTGCCCTTGTTTTGTGCAGTGGAATTTATTTTAATTCTAATCACTTAAAATCACTTTCAGTAAATACTTATACATATACTATAATATCATGTATTTAATAACAACATTAATATTTATCAAAGCATATAAAGCCGGAAATACATGGCTATAAAAACTAATAACGTTACTTGGTAACATAAACTTAATACCTACATAAATAGAATAGTAATATGTATATTAAGATATCAGTAATATTCATATATTAATTGAAATATTATATCACTTGACGAATATACTCATATTAACTAATACCGACAAATATCGGTATTACTACTAGCCCTCTGCCAGGGCAGTCGGCGACTGCCCGTTCCACGCCCCGTGCGCCTCTCAAGGCCCCCGCACACATCCAGACACCCACACACACATAGCCGCAAGCGATTTTACGTGCACACATGCTTAAGTGTCGTTTCTTTTCGCGTAGTGTACATATTCTTTGCTATAGGTTTAACACTTATGAGCAGTTTATTTTTTAAACGAAGCTTATGTTAGAAAAGAATAGAACATTATTGCATAAAACTGAATGAATTATAAATAAATCCCCATTTAGCCGTACTGAAAGTACAAAGCGCAGTATTAATCTACGCAAACTTTGGCATTAAAAATCATGTTAGTTTTTGACGGGCACTTCATAGCTCATACCTACTAGCAGGATTTCGCTTTCGGGCTCTTCATTCCCGGATATAGGTAATAATTTTTCGAGGAAAGTTTTCACCGCTGCATTGGAAAACATTTTTAAGCCACTGGCCTATAAAGGATACGGTATTAACATCGATGGCCAGAATATCACTCGCCTTAAATTTAACGACGACGATAACGACTATATTATAGCACAATGGTTTTAGCTTTTAGCACCTTAGTGTGTTTAATGGTGTTAATCGGGTACCCCAACGGATAGGTCTTAAAACTGACACGGACAAGACGAAGGTCGTTGTTGGGAACACTTTGGTCGAAGTTTCCACAAAATCATTACCCAGATACTAAAAAGCTTGTATTTCCCGTCACACCCTACTCACTAGTTCGTTCAAATTTCTTGTTGAATTCCAGAGCCCTTTTTTGCGGCAACTAGAATTTAATTTGAATCTTTAGTAATAGATCATACGGTGTCAGAATTTTTTTGCAAGAAATTAATCTCGTAATTTGCTAGAGATCAAATCCAAGTTTTTATTGCAGTAAATAACATACTAACATTTTAAATAAACCCTAATCAAACTTTAAGACTTATTGTGTCTAAATTTAATAAGCTTAATGAACGTTTACACATACTTTTGATAAAAATTTAGATTAGATCATTTATTTAAATTTTTAAACAAATTAAAATACAGATAATCGCTTAAATTAAGCACTGATGTAAGCAACTGATGAAAAAAATCTAAAGTACTCACATCAGAATGTGGTGAACGGTGGGCAGCAATCGCGGCTAAGAGCGCGGCCGCAGATGCTCGAACAACATTCGCCTCGCCGGATTTCAAGAAGATATCCATTGCATAATTACATAGAGATTCATTCGGAACATCTGCATAAAAATGTACACTATCTTATTAAATGCATAACATGAGCAGTAAAATAAAACCTAGTATTTAGGGTACACTGTAAAAAAAGTAACTTTGTCAGGAGTTTTCCTTTTAATCTGTTCCTTTATTGATATACAGATGTTGACCAGCTTTTGAAAAAAGTCCTTCTGAAGCTTTCGAAGACGCTGTGCAGCACAAATGTTTAATGGCTACTTTCCTAAACTTTGGATAGGTGGATACTAGGGCATAAAAGTAATGGATCCTAATGGCCTGTATCGATGCTACGATATCATTTACGTAACATCGATGTGTCGATGTTTTCGAGGACTTAACATTGATGCTTTCCTCCTAAACATCAATGTTTACGTACTATAGATGAATATCGATCATCCCTACTTTAGTCTCAATCATTAGTATTTTAGTAACTAAGAGAATTCAATCGACTTTATAACCAAATTTCGATACACAATGCATGTTAGCAATTATCATGTTTGTTTTTGGATATTGACAATGACGATGCAAGTTAACATTGCCTATGTACATGTACATGTACTAGTACTACTTATACGTACAGCTACGAAAGAACATAGTTACTTCAACACTTACACTTTTTATATCAATACTCATAAAATGGTGTAACTATTGATTTATCGCAGTATTATTAAGTACTCCACAGTAATGGCGATTGAGTTTACACTTTATGTCTACAATGTGTAAGGCTGTTTTCCTAAATAATTATACACAATACCTGCGGTTTCTACATTAAAAAGATATTAAAGAGTACCCAGACTATGATGATCTTGTACTTTGCGAAGTGAGTCTTGAGTTTCATCTTCGCGTTTGCTTTAAAAAATTATAGAAACTAAGGGAAAGTTTATATTATAGCATACATAATTTGTTTGCTCACATTGAACAAGCTGCGGCCTCAACAGCATGTAGTGCGCCAGCGCAGCCATCAAGTGCATGACAGCAGCGCGTACTTCGGGCCGGTCGGCTCCGCCGCACGCCACCACGGCCTGCATCACATCGCCGCTCCACGCCTCGCTCCACCTCTGAATATTTTCACTATCAACATCATTTTATCCTGGTTTACTACTAAACCAACCACATTTACATTTAATGCATTTAATAATATGATCCTCTCTCGGAACCGCGTAGAAGTAGAAATTAAAATACATTTTTTCACACAAACTTAAAACAAATTACATTAATCCAAAAACATTAATAAATAAATGAAAATAAATGACGTAAAACCGTTACAGTTACAACCTATTAAAATCCACTGCCGATCATAGGCTTCCTCCATTAAGTGATGGCAACCGCAGTTTATTTTTATTTTTAGTTTGTATTAAGAACACGCTGCTGCCCATCTCCTGATTTGTTTCTCTCTGTCGCCTCTTACGATAGCCACGGGATGGCGTAGTGGATATTCTTATACCGCTATACACGGTTTTTAATTTAAATATGATTTCAAACAATAGGCCAAAAACGTTTATATAGAGGAAAATTGTTTTTACTTGTTTTTGCTCTCATAGAAACAAAAATACTTACAAGTCTCAATAAGAGACGGCCCCAACCATTACATCAGATTTGATAGACCACAAATCCTCGCGAAAGAACACCGATTCCTACCAAGGATGATACGTGAGGCTATTGAAATTAAAAAACATCCAAATTTCAATAGAGAAAGAGGCTGGGTACTACCACCTGCTTGAGATCCTATAATCAATAAAATTAAAACTAAACCCAAGCATACCACTGCAAGACCTCAGGACATAGTCAGTTCATTTTGCATAGATCGGACCATAAACAATAATTAAAAAAAAGCTGAAGGTACTCCGGGTTTAACAATGACATCGGGACGTCAGTCATCTCAGTCCCCCGTGACCATGAGTGCTGGAAAGCGCCCGAAACGTCGGGAATTAAAAATAAAAGTAAATAAAAAGTAAAAATAAACGCGATAAAATCCGTAAAAGTAGTTTTAATCAATTTCACCAGTTTTGTGGGTTGGTTCTAGTTTGCAAAACTGTGTCCAATTGATTTATATATATAGAGACTACTTTCTCTTTATGTATAATTGGAGTATTTACCTCTTTTCTAATTTTACATAGTCTATTTACTAAATAAGGACACTTTTCCATTGATTATAGGATCCCAAGCAGGTGGTAGTACCCAGCCTCCTTCTCTATTGAAATTAGGATGTTTTTTAATTTCAATAGCCTCACGTATCATCCTTGGTAGGAATCGGTGTTCTTTCGCGAGGATTTGTGGTCTATCAAATCTGATGTAATGGTTGGGTCCGTCTAGGATATGATCACAAACTGCAGACTTCCCGGAACGTTGATACTTCACATCAGCTATATGTTCTTTTACGCGGGTCCTAATTGATCTTTTTGTTTGTCCTATATAAGAGAGACCACATTCACAATCAAGCTTGTACACTCCTGCATCTTGTAGAGGAATATGACACTTGACGGATGGTAGGAACTGACTAATCTTCTTCGGCGGCTTGTAGAATGTTCTAATAGAAGCTCGCTTCAAGATATAGCCAATCTTGTCTGTGACACCTCTGACATATGGTAGTACAGCAGGCACACGCTCGACTGTGGCCGGCTTCACTCGGTCACTGTGACGTAGGCGCGGGACCCGAAGCTTGTTGTCGTGCAGAACTTGCTCGACGTGCTGAAGCTCGGCGGCCAGGTGTTTGTTGTCACAGATCCCTCGTGCTCTCTGTAACAGCACGAGGGATCTGTGACAGCAGGATTTGCGGAAGCGGACACTGTGGATTCCTTTTGCAGATGTGATATGCAAAGTGAACCCCGTCAGACAGACTGGCGGAACATACAGTTTACTAGACAGTGAAGTGAACAAATGTGTGGATATCTTCTAACGATTGAAGTCTCGAATTATTAATTTGTTATATTGATTTGTTTATCATATTTTTAATCAATCAGGCTGCGCTTCTTGGAATCCGCCACAGTTTCTTGCCTAATGATACCGATTTTGGCCGAATCGAATGTGCTCTGAAATTGCAGCAAAGAATAAACACTCCCAAAGACTATATGCGAATAACGCAGACATGCAAAAAGAATGAACCAATGCAAGTGCATAGAATAACAAAAGAAGATTTTTTCCCAAGTGCTAACCCAAAAAAGAGAATAACTAATAGAAAAATGCCACTGATGGATCAAAAGTATCTCGGCTTAAAATAAAAGAGATAATGGTCAGGAAAGAAGTAAAGTAAAGTAAAAGTAAAATATACTTTATTGTACACCAAGGAACATATTACATTATTTATATATTTAAAGGGACATTGGTACAACAGGCGGCCTTATCGCTAAAACAGCGATCTCTTCCAGGCAACCTTAGGGCAGAGGATACTATTTTAAAAGATAGCGGAAGGGGTGTACAGAATATGATAAAGAAAGATAAATAGAAGAACATAAATGATTAAAGAAAAAAAAAATGAATGACGACAGGTAGTAACTTAAGAGGAAAGGTAATAAAGTTTTAATTTATTTTTAAATATAGGAAGAGATTTAGATTTTTTGATATGTAAGGGGAGAGAATTCCATAGTCGTATAGCGGTAACCGTAAAAGAAGATGAGTTTTCGATTTTTATGAGATCTGATCTAGATGCTGACTATGTAGAAGTAAATTTAAAGAAAAATTTACGAGGAAATACAGTCTCATTAACCAAAGAACTAATGGATCCGCTTTGGCTTAATGGTCAGCCAGACTTAAAAATAGAGATGTTACGGAGGTTTGATTCCGATTCCGAAAGTTCGGAACTTCCGATTGCTTTTGCACCTTCGATTCCATTTCGGTTCCGATAAATTTTATTTGGAAGTTATATCGGAAGTCGATGTATAGCGTCGGTGGCGTTCGCTATTAGCGGGCATCATATTATTTATTCTGTGTCAAGTCAAGTTTATACTTGTTGCGCGAGGAACGTCCCTGAAATGATTGCTTTGCAAGATCTTCCCCTAATTCCGTGGAAGGTATTGGATTCAGACGACTTACGCAGTTCAGAGTGCCGAATTATCAGTTAAGGCGAAGACAGTTTTTTACCGAATATTATTTGTAATGAATAATGTTGAGTAATTTTATTTTATTACACGTGCCCTTAACACATACCTATCTCTTCTGCTTACACCTCCGATTCCGGTTCTGGTTCCGACCAACCAAATTTAAAAACTCTGCTTCCGAATTCGGTACCGATATAACCACTTCCGTAACATCCCTACTTAAAAAACTTGTTGGATTTTATTCCTGAAGATGACAAAGACTTTTACAAACAATTAACGGGAGATGTTACTGTTGAAGATGACATGGATCGGTTTTGGATTTTGAGGTAGAAGTGGAAGACGACGATTAGGTAATGTAGGATGAAGATCAAGAACAGTGCTTTGCTTAATAAGTTGTTACATATACAATTTTAATGTGTTAAACTAGTTTGTATATTAAAGTCAATAAAAATGTTATTAAAACAAGTATTTTTAAATTATTTAAAGCAATCTACATACTTGAAAATCTTAAGATATTGTAATAAAGAACCAACCCGCAAAACAGTAATTTTGCATTAAGGAACCATCAGCTTTTTCATCAAAAACAGTTAAGAAATCTGACCAAAATCCAAATAATTTAATTGTATATATATATATATATATATATATATATATATATATATATATATATATATATATATATATATATATAAACAAATTTTACGTCGTAGAGCCGCGCTGCAGCTATATTATGGTGTAGTATGAATGGGTCAGCTCTTCAGTTCAGACCGAAGAAGAACCACGCTCTCACAGAAAACCGAGGGATCGAGGCATTCCATCTTAGTCCTCAGGGGTGAGAACACCCCCCCGAACGGGTTCCCGCCTTGTCCCCCCCGAACGGGTTCCCGCCTTGTCGTGGCGGGGGGGCTTAGAAGCCGTGGCTTGGTCACCCACGGCGAAACAAAGAGGAACCCATATGGCTGGTCCGAGGCGGAGGGCCGGCCCGAGGTGGCCACTCCGAGTGGGCTTGGGAAGCCCACTTCGGATGTGTGTTGGTGGACTGCGGTGAGAGGTGTGTCCTCCCCACCTACCGCTGCAGCCGAGGTGGAGTCGCGGAGGAAGAGGAGTGTTGGTATGACGATGCGCCACTCGCCCTATCCTCCGCGACTCAAACGGGGGCCGCACCGTTGATGCGGTGGGGGTGGGGCTGCGGGGGGAGAGGATTGTCGGTATTGCGAGGCGCCGCTCTCCCTACCCTCCGCAGCCGAATCTTGGTTGGCGGCGGAGCCATAGACCAGATCCGCCGCTGGGGTCGGGAAGGCTAGTACTTCTAAGTGCTTGTTTTTCCTGGCCCCATGGCCTTCTTGCATTGGACGCGGGGGCGTCCGTTGCGCAGAGGTGATTAGAGGCCGAGAAGGAAGGCGCGCCACGTGTTCTGGTGCGCCTTACCTGTGAAGGAGAACGGGGAGGAGTATTCCGCTCCCGAGGAGGTGTTGCCATAGGGCGGCAGGCGTTGGTGGGGCTGCGGATGTGTGCGTAAGTGTTCCCGTGGCCCTGCCAATAAGCGATAAAGGTGGAACACCATGGGGTTTTAGGCGGTGGGAGTCCGACATAAACCGTCCTTGCCCCCGCGAGGCGGGTATGCGTAGGCATTTCCCCAGGTAAAAAAAAAAAAAAGGGGTGAGAACGCACCTGCATTTTGATTCTTAATCGAATGTAGATGTATATGGGCTACAGCAACCATTTACCGTCAGATGGACTGTGTGCTCGTTTGTCACTCTTATCCTATAAAAAAAATTAACAACTTGTAAACGTGAAAATAAAAGTCTTCTGAAAACAAGCTTAATTCGAACGAACGAGTTGCGAGTAGACATGACATAAACACTCACGCCTGTCACCCAGAGGGGTAGGCAGAGACTACAGACTTCCATTTGGCACGATCCTGACACACCTCTCTTGCCTCCTTCACATCCATACACCTACGCATACATGCTCGTCGGTTAAGGGTACTCCTAATTTGGCCCGTTTTCAATAAATCGCCAATTTGGTCGATAAATTTTCGCCTAGGACGTCCCTTTCCGACTCTGCCATTCACTTCTGCACCATAAATTTTCTTTGTCACTCTTTCCTCATTCATTCTTTCCACAAGACCAAACCACCGAAGCATTCCTTTCTTAATCCTGGTCACAACATCATCTTGCAAACCACACTCTTCTCTTATTACACAATTTCTTACCCTGTCATTCGGCGGGAAATAGAGTAAATGGGGCCTTGCACTCTATTGTGAAGAGTCAAAATGTGTCGAAAAAGGCACGTATGGCAATTCACAATGCTGTGTTGGTCCCTACTTTACCGAATGGTAGTGAAAGTTGGGTGTGACAGAAGAAGCACGAGAGTAGAATCAACGCAGTAGAAATGCGGTCGTTAAGGAGTATGTTAGGGCTGAATCTGAATGACAGGCTAAGAAATTGCGAGTAGAATAAACAATTATTGGGTAATGTGTATAAATATTTAGATACCTAATTGTTTACTTTCCTAGTTTATCTAGATTGGTGTCATACCTGAAAAAATAATAAATAGTCCGAGTGCAATTTATGTATTTACTAATTGTTCCCCGCGACTGCGCCCACGTGGAATTTTTTAATTAAGTATATATATTTTTTTTTGCCGATGGGTGCTCACTATATGCTCATGTGTATGTACGATAGATCGATTACGTGAGAGTATTAAATTTACAGTCACATTCACTGACTTATTCCCCGAACCTAAGGTTGGCTTATAATAATTAAAAAACTACGGTTGTCAAGCTCCCTGCCAAGCGGTGCTATCATGGCAAAACTCCCTCTACTAAGCAATCTGTAGGAGAGACCTATAATTATCAGTAGTGAACTTTTGATGGGCTGTAAAAATTAATGAATAAATGATTTTTGCCACTCTACTATGTTGTTTTTTTTTTTTGCTGAAAGTACGTAATGTTTCGTTTGGTGTGTGTAGCAAACCGTAAACTCTTTTTACTGGAAACGAGGCCATGCCACGATTTCATCTTAGACCTCACGGGGCATCTCCTAAAGGCCTTATCCCGGGGCCGCACTGTCCCGGGATCTTGCAAGCCTCTGCCTTCACCTGAAGTCGTCGCCTAGCCACGCCTACGCCTCCACCTGCTCCAGACGCTGCGTGTACCTGCTCCAGACGCTGCGTGTACCTACTCCAGACGCTGCGTGTACCTACTCCAGACGCTGCGTGTGCCTACTCTGGGCGCTGTGTGTGCCTACTCCGAGCGCTGCGTGTGCCTACTCCGAGCGCTGTGTGTGCCTACTCCGGGCGCTGTGTTTGCCTACTTCAAGCGCTGCGTGTACCTGCTCCAGACGCTGCGTGTACCTACTCCAGACGCTGCGTGTGCCTACTCCGGCCGCTGTGTGTGCCTAGTCCGGGCACTGTGTGTGCCTACTTCAAGCGCTACGTGTGCCTACTCCAGACGCTGCGTGTGCCTAGATCAGGCGCTACGCACCTACCACAGGCATAGCCTGTGCATACTTCGTGATGCTTCTAGTTTGAAACCCCATCATCATTTTCATATATTTTTATCTTTTTAAAATTTAAAATAAATTATTCGTTTTTTTGTTGTTTCGTTGTTATTAGGTTAGGTTCTTTAGTTTTTAACTGTCGCTTTACGACACTTTTATGGAAATTATTAGCAAATACCTGAACAGGAATGTCTTCAGTGTAAATTTTCCTTAGCAAGGCCAACAGAGCTACCATGGCATCCAATTTGCAGGCCTGCCCTTTTCGACCGCTGCCCATTCCGCAGCCGCAGAGAGTTCGCGTCAACACCTTCAATCCCTCAAACAGAGTCTCCTCCGACAGTTTACAGTAGCGTGAATATAGCGCGTATCTTATGCAACGCGTCAGCTCGTTAAGATATCCTAAAACAAATTTCACTGTGAAAACAAAAACACGCATCTCGAACATTAAAAACATAACTTATGTAGTTGGACCATACTGTAACTGTATTATTACTGCAGCGCAAATAAATCGGCTTAACAGGCAAAATACAACGGACTTTAAAAACGAAACTCTTTTTAACGATAATGAAATCCTCCATCGGAGTCGTGAGGGGTGACAACGCATCTATATTTTGTTTCATAATTGAAGATAGATTTAGGTGTCTATGGGCCATAGCAAACACTTAATATCATGACTGTGTGAAGATGATGGTTATTCCTATTTACAAAAATAAATGTAAAATAAGCAACGGTAATGAACTATTTAAAAAGTACTTGGAAGTAAGGTTTATTAATAGTTCTGTTTTAATTTTCTAATTTTACGAGTAATGAAAAACGTAGACAGCTAGGCGAATCAGAAAACCTAATATGTATTTTTATAAATCAAAATTACATAAAATATAACATTACCAACTTATATTCACATAAGTAAGAAGGAAGGCAGCATTTTCTTATATACTCATTTGTAAGTCGAACAAATCATGACCAAATAAATAAATAATCACTATACAAACCACTCACCTAGCATATGAAAATTCTTCAAATCAATCTTTTCCAAACAAGAAAGCAATATTTTCAATAAGCTCTCCATTCGTCTGACGTCATAATCTTCGTAATATTCTAAAAGCCTTATACAACGCCATATAATCTTCACGATATGTATGTGTAACTGCGTTACTTCAATATCCTCCCGCGGCGTTTGATTCGGATAAAGACGTTCGCGGCTCAACAGAGAAATAACAGTAACGTCATTACCGATGAAATACGGTTCAATCCAACTCATTGTATTACCTAATGAGAAATAAAAAAATACTTTAGTACACTATAATACAATTACAGAATAGGCGGCAAAAGGGAACCTACCATCCCACGACGACCCTTGGGTGTCGTAAGAAATGGTAAGATTTCAAATATTAATTAAAAACACTAGTGACATTATTAATATCCCCGCGAACCACTCTAAGCAAGCTTAAACATTAGTTCAAGAAAGTAGTCGGATTGCAGATATGAACCTAAGAATTTCTGGTTTTGCAATCCCCTTAATCGCTAGGATATTATAGCTATCTTAAGCCTTCGATAGATGACATAGCCTTGTCGCATGTCACATATCATCATCATTATCGCCCATGGCAAGTTCACTGCCGAACACAGCTTCTAAGATCGGTACAGATCCATCTTATGGCCACAAAGCACGGAACTGAGCCATCTCCATCTATCGACTCCGTATCCGTACATATATTTACATACACAGTCTCTTTAACAAACCTCTTTGTAACGCCAAACTCTTTATTAAATAAATATTAGTTGAGCTTGATTGATTTTCATACAAACCGATACAATATATCACTTTCAATAACGAAGGGCATGCTCTATTTAGCGAACACAATACCATTGTTTAGACGCAAAACAACTTTTACTATAGTAAGATTCTTAGATGTTATAGTAAGTTCCAGGGTACTCGACGAATATGTCCACTTCTTTTGTTTATTATGGTTATTGCCTACCATAAATGTTAGTGCGGCCGAATTATGGTTGACCATATATCGGTTGGTGTGAACCTAAAATCCAGGTAAACATAACTAGCTGTAAAAGAAAGATTACGTCTCTAGAACAAAACGTTGATTTGATTCATGCAATAGAATACGGTAAAGGGATGTTGAACGGCGGTCAGAACTCATTCTGTTAGCGGTACTTCCCCGACAACATTTTTTAATGCCGATGTAACTGACATTTTTTACCATTTGGTTCTAAAGTATAAAACTGAAAAATGTGTGGGTGGCAAACTCTCATTACAGCGCTGGTAGCTGCTAACATGAGTGGCACAGAAAAAAATAAAGTTAATAGTGTATAGTGCAATTGAAACACCCACGGCAAAAATATCAAACAGTTGCCGGTCACTTATAAAGCAAACAAATCTGCATGGATGAAGTTGCACGTTTTTGAAGAAGTACAGAGGTGGGATCCAGAGCTAAAACAAATTACTTCTTTTTGTTTTGCCACCGATGGAACAGAAGGCAATCAAAAGCCCAAAAAGCCATTACAAAAAAATGTTGTTGATGTTGATGCAAATCATTGAATCGGGTGGTAAGTTCTCCATTAATATGTTAGATGCGGTGAACTTCCTCAGCAGAGCTAAGGATGAGGTGACAGCATGAACCATACGTACTCTATGGTTCGTGCTTTTTCATCGGTCTTTTTGACATGCTGATCCATCTAGTGGTTTTGCAGGCATCGGAGTACGTCAAGAATCTGTATCGGAAAAAGATGATCTGCCGCTAAGCGAGTGGATTAAACAATTTAAGACGACAGTCACCTTCACGACCAGGAGCTACAAAACTTTGTTTTCGTGCATGGGGAATCTACCATAACCATACATAAAACTGACTAACGAAGAAATCCTCAGATTACATGTTTTGATTATTATTTTTATTGACTGCCATGAAAGACGAGAAGGGGACATTCAGCAGAAACAATCCGATGAGCTCGAACAAGGTAGTATCAAACTAGCTCTGGATGCGGCCAAACTGCTGGAAAGATTCTTATTACTCAATAAAGACGATCCTAGAACTTTTGAATGGATGTCAAAAATACGTAGCTCAGTGCAACTTAAGAATTGGCACATCAAAAGAGTACAAAAGGAAATCAAAGGAGTACAAAAATAACAGAGTACATATAATCTAATATTATATAAATTATTAATATTAAGCCTTAAATTTTTGCAATATCTATTATAATTTAAGCATTAAACATTTGCAACAATAATATTTTGTTAACATTTGGTTGTTATTTACTACTCATTCTTTTTAACGAAATCTTTATAACCGCATAAAATGTCCCTTGAATTCTGTCATAGAGTTTTCACGGTATATTTTCATCTCGTATATGCTAGATAAAATTCTTAGACCTGTGGTCGAAAGCAATGTAACAGGTGCGACACGTTTCGCACTGATCCTGCTACCAAGCGTGGTAATTATAGCAAATGTCTACTATAAAAGTGACTCACGCCTAGCAGTTTCTTGTTTATGAGATGATAAAGTGAACTAATGACACGAACGAAAATATGGGGCGCAACAACAAGCACATACGGTTAAGAGGTACATTGTCCATGTAGGCGATGATGAACTGCAGCAAGGCGATGAGCAGCGCAGCGTCGCGGCTGGAGGCGGGCGGCGAGCACAGGAAGCGGCGCACGCGCTGCCACGCCACGCCGCTGTACTCCTTCAGGCTCGCGCACGTCGCCGGCACCAGACACGTGTAGCTGGTAATCGGGATAATATACACTAAATTACGTATACAGAGAAACCTATAGACAAATTGACGCCTTTTTTCGCATTCGCAAACGAAAAAGATAGATTTATGCATACGTCTTGCATAGAAATGAGACAGAACGGTGTGATTGTTTGTCCCTTTCTCCGTGCCGGTTTTTTTGTTTAGCAAACTACACTGACAGTTTGTAGCGATCTAAAGAGTTTACAAATTGGTTTAAGTGAGAAAAAAGTGTTTTGTGAGCCTAAGATTGGTGAATCTTGTTCAGTTCAGTTCTTAGAACAATTAAAAATTTTATATAAAAGTCATAAAGATTATTGTATAACCTAAAACTACGTTTCGTACTTTCTCACTCAAGGCCACGCTAATCTATGGATTTATTAGTCTATGGGTTTCTCTGTCTTCGGTAAATTTAAATAATTTGGATAAATTTTATAGATTTTAGATAGATTTTTCTTTGTTAATAATGCTAGGGCTGATTGTGCTTTTGCCAATTTTAAATAATAGTATATTGTAATTATTAACAATTTGTTTAAAAACTTAGCCACCATATGTTGATATGATGCGAAGTTTTTGAGACAGTTTTTCAATTATAAAAGCGCCTAAGCAAAGGGAACAACTTAAGGTTTATCAACATCAGATTTAAACGATAAAACAGGAGCAACAATCAACCCGTGGCCAAATTCCCGCCAAATTTCCTACCTGATTTTAATTCTCACACTAAAACAAACAGCAAAAACTTCTAAAATCAAGATAATTCGGATTTTTTGTAGTTTATTTGAGTATCATGTTAGGCTCGCAATTTTGAAATCATAGATATCTAAATCTATATTTGAAATTGTTTCTTTAGGCAAAGGTCTCGACCATACAGTCTAGTCTGATCTATACTTTGTTGACAAAACTGTTCACAATATAAGTTAATAATATCTCAGGGCCTTTACTGCGCATGCGCGCATGCATTTGAATTAATCTCAGTACTATAAGCACGCTTCAAGTTACCGTTACAGCCTATTAAAGTCCACCGCTGAACATAGGTCTCCCCCATAGATTCCGCATAGGGGTAAATTTTGCCATGGCTGTCATGCTATTCAAGCGAGTTGATAACTGCGGTTTTTGTTTATTTTTAGTAGTTATTAGAAGACGCTGCTGCCCATCTCCTGACTTGTTTCCCTTTGTCACTTCTTACGGCACTCATGGTTGATATGGGGTAGTGGATATTCTTAAACCGCCACTACACGGTGTTTCAATGCGTTCAACGGTGGGTGATATATATATTGAATACCTGGATTATTGTAGACTGAAACTAACCACTCGTTGGATTATTTCAGTGATGTGTTTTCTGTTTGTAACGTCATAAAACAAAGTAACATATATAAAAATACTAACTAATGAATATATAATATTTATTTCGTAAAAAAAATTAATTCTAATTCATGATATATTCTACAAAAATCTCATCGTTTCCTAACAACAATGTATTGCTTGACAAAAGAAGACACCTATAAAGCCTGCGTTAAATGTTTGAAACTTTAAAATAATTTTAACCTATGTAAGGGGGATAGACAATCGGTGACCATACAAACAAGTATCTATACTTTTAATTTTACTACAATACAGTATACCGTAAATAGTTCACCTTTCCAATAAAACTAGCGCGTCTATAACTTGAGAGTGTGACGTAGCATTCTCGAGCGCCAGCAAGCATTTAGCGCTGGAGTAGACGACACAAGCGGTGCGCATCAGTTCCAAGTCATGAGCGGTAGGCGAGGGCGCGGGGAGGTCAGTCGGCACGGTGCGGAAACTGCGCACGCCTCCAGCCCAACTAAACCACCAGTGCACACGAATCGCTCGGCGCCATTCATCGTCACACAGAAGCCATTCTAAAAGAAAACAAGACTGTAATCTATACATATATTTTTAAGTCGTAGAGCCATGCTTTAACTATATTATAGTTGTAACACGAATGGGTCGGCTCGACCAGAGAAGGACCACGTTCTTACAGAATAGCAGTTAAAGGCCCCAGTCTTGTAAAAATTTGTGTTCTCGCAAAATTTACAGCAAAAGAAATATTTTTTTGTAGTATTTAAGAAAGAAAAAGTGAAACATATTTTATTTTATATATTTATATTTACATATTGTCTACAATAATCTGATCTGGTCACTTTTTTTATAAATGCTTTAATTTTCTTATTTGAAGGGCTTAAAAAGTTGTAATTTCATGATTTTAGTTGTTTTAAGTTGCCCTACTTAAATATATATTATTTTTATTTAATTGTCATATTAGTTCTAGTTTTTAGTGTATTAGTGTTAGATTAATTGACTTGGACTTTTATATTTGGAGAATTTCAATTTATTACCAAAGAAAAACGGAAAAAATGGATAGAAAAAAGAAGAAATATTCTTGTGTCAGTAAAAAGAAATGTAATGCAAGAGTTGAAGTGATGAGTGAAGAGTTTTGGGAAACAACAATGCGTTTGACAAAGTTTTATCACAGTTGTGTGCTAACAGAATTAATTTATTCGCACCTTGAACGTTTTATGCCGATAAAATACCCACCATATATAATAGAAGCAATAGAAAATAAAAAAAATCCCAAAAAAATTTACCCCTACACAATATTACACCACTCGAAAAAAATCTTACTTTTAATGATGTAACGAACTAAAAAATAAGTATATGTGTATTCAGTTATTTTTTATTCGATTTTTTATCAACTGCCTTCTATGTTACTTCCCTATACTATTTCTGTTTAAAAAAAAAAAAACAGGTACAAGCGTTATTTGTATGTACAGATTGGGAATTGGGAAGGGAGGAGCTAGAATCATAGGGCTGAACAACAATTAATACAAAAAAAAAGGAATTAGAAAAACATTGACTGATTCTTCATACAAAATGTACAAGATAGACGCGAAATTTGTATGAAGAGACAGTTTTTATTTTCCTTTGGTTGTATATACGCTATTTAAACCTACGACCCGTATAAACTTTACTAAAAACGACATTTATTAAATATAAAAAGGTAAAAAATTATATTACCACGACAAAAGTAAAAGGAATATTTTTGGAAAAAAATAATAAGTTATATATTTAATGAAGTTGAGCAACTTTCACCTGTGATCTCGAACGTATTTATGCACGGGGGAGAGCGCCCCCTCTCCGCTCAATTTTCGTATTGTGAGTGTAGAGAACCAACCCTTTTACTGGTAACGCATCTACATTTTGAATCCTAATTTCTAGGTGCCTGTATTACGTTTTTCAGCTACAACTTCAAAACTGATCAAACCGTAGTCGCCTTAAAATTATAAATTTAGTTGTGGTCGAAATTCAACTGTAATTTAATAAATTTTTATGTTTGTATACTAGGCAAGCAGTATTTCACTTTCAACTGCAGAATACTAATCTAAATAATAAAAAGTTGATATCTTACAAAGTATAAAACAAACGTTTTTTTTTCTGCCTTGTTATACACTCCACTTACTATTGAAAAAGGACGTTTGAAACCACACAAAATTCACAACTCATTCAGTCATTCTCTCAATAATTATTTATTGGCAACATTTTTCAACAAACTCTACTCTGTGTGACTCTAACACCGTGGAAAATGTGTTTCACAATTGAGACATTGGCAGTATAAATGTTAACAATGAATATTTTATTTTGTTTAATGTATTTGCCACACATATTATATTATAATATATAAATTTTAGCCATCTGCACTCCTTCTCCATATAATCTTTAACTATGCCAAATCTTACAATCCAGCGTGCATGCTTAAAAAGAGGTACAACGTGTCTCTTCTCGTCATGTATTAATATATATGATGTGGACATATGTAAAACTTACCCAAAGGACAATGTTCGGTATTCGGACTAGAACTCCAATAGCTGTTTACCGCAAAAGGAAGCGAAGTTCGATCAGTAACGCACAACGGCAACGCTGGTACCTTCTCTCTTGCCGAGGTAATCTCTTGCAGGATAAAACCAGACCATGCAATAAGTGCCAAGATCTGAGCTGACATCAACACAGTGGCGTCATTGGAAGGGAACACGAGGATCACTGAAATATACATTTTATTAGGACCTTTATTTGTAATAAAATAACATTTTATAAAAAAAATCCATTCTAACCCCGAAGTAAAATTAAAGGCAAGTCCGTTATTTTAGCTAAATTATGTCGACTTGCGAAACTCAGGCTATTCAATATGGAAACACAACTAATGGCGCATTCAGGAAACGCCAAATAATCATCTATCATTAGTGATAATCTGAAAAAAAAAATCAATATTAAACTTTGTTAATAAATTTCTTTATTTAGAAAAATCTTTAAAAATTATCGAAAAAATAATAAAATTATGGATTTTGGCTCTATGCACCATTATTAATTGCTTGCCACAATATTATCTTGAATTAATGAACAAGAACAATACATAAGTTGCATATTTTTAATTATTTTTTAAAACTTTACTAAAATTATTAAGAAAGGTTAAAAAAAAATAACAATTGATTTTTCATGTAATTTTACAATTAGAAATGTAAATTTTTAACGCTTTAGTAACGCCACCCGCATGGTGAAATGATAAAACACTCATGTTTACGTTGTCAAAATTAAAAAAAATATTTGCATAATACAGCAATAGAATAATTTTTATTCAATATATATTACATCATGTAATTTACATGTAATTCTTATTGAGTCATTTTTTACTTTACCACTGGTTCGGAAAAAAGAACGAAGAATGACCTGGGAAGAACCAGCAAGGAACTCGACGGGACTTTTTTAAATAAATTTTACAATGTAAATGGTTACAAAATATTTACAAAATTTATATTATAAACAGATCCACCTCATTCCCAGGAGTTATTATCAACTATGTATTCATTTAAATTATAATAACCCTTTTTATACAGTTTGTGTTTAATAAAATTGTTTTTTCAACTTGGTAATAAAAAGACCTTGTATATTTTCTGGGACTTTGTTGTAATAGCGTATACATTACCCCAAGAATGACTGCCTGTGTGGAGTCGAGAAACTGGAATCACTAGCTTGTGTTTGTTTCTAGTGTTTACCGAGTTTATATCACTTTATTTACTAAAACTACCTTTGTTTTTTTTGAACATACATTAAATATTCGTAAGCATACTGAGAGGTCAAAATTAATAGATTTATTTCTTTATATTTTTCTCTAAGACTAAATAGCTCTTATGGCCCTCTTCTGCAAAACAAAAATAGTTTCTAAATCAGTCCCATTTTCCTCACAGCAAAATCCCATATGATATTATACTGTGGAAATAACTGAAATAAGCTAATCTAGCTGTCTCGACACTAGTGGGATATCTAATCTTTTTTACAGCATAAGCTGGAGAGCTTAGTCTGCTTGCCCACTGAAGCTTAGCGTCGAGAGTGATGCCAAAAAAACATAGGATTCAACAGGGCTCAGTTCTTCCTCATTCGAAAACACATTTCTATTCAGATTTTTAACATTCGTTGTTGTAAATTTAATACATTTAGTTTTAAATGTAGATTAATAATGTTATACTAATGCACTAATTTTGACATAGCATTATTCACTTCGTCACTTTTATATGATTGACGTTTAAGTTTAAAAATCAAGGAAGTATCATCAGAAAATAATACTATATCATGATTATCCCCTACAAGGGAAGGTAAGTCACTAATATATACTAAAAATAGGAATGGGCCAAGAATTGAGCCCTTAGGGACAACAATCTGTATGGGCCACCCGGAAGAACTTTTACCACTGGCAATAACTTTCTGCATTCTATTACTTAAATATGAAATAACTAGCATAAACGCTGTGTTCTTGACACCATAGTACTGTACTGTAGCCCCCTAATTAATGTCTCATAGTGAACCCAGTCGAAGGCCTTGGAAAGATCAGAAAATATACCCAAAGCATCCCCTGAATTCTCCCATGCACAAAAAATATGTTTTATATGCTTAACTCTGAATTCGGTTGTCGAGCGACCCCTTGACTTGTGTGAAGCAATTTATTTATATTAAAAAAACTTAACATCTGATGTAAAATAATTTTTTCATTTAATAACAAAAATTTCTATTCAGTATCCTATCTGCTCACACTGGTGAATATTAAATACATCTTTTTAAGTTCCCTGCCAGTAATTATCACAAGAGATCTATATCCAAGCCAAAACTTAAACTTATGCTATTTGCTGTACCTGAGTAAGGAAACGGTAAGATTCAATCCATCGTGTTGTAGAAAAGTCTCATGTGAATCTTGTTGCCGTAACACTACAGATAGCTGCTGAAGCGTGCTGCGTCGCAATGACGGCTCCAGCGTCGGCTGAGACGTTTGAGCGACGTATGATTTACCGTCTTCTTCTAATATTAAGTCTTGTTTTAATACTTCAACAATCTGGATTAAGCCTGCAGTCTAAAATATGCAATAATATTGAAATATATGGTTAATAAAAACATATAAATGGGGCCGGGAAAGAACTACACTCTTACAGAATATCAGCATAAAATAGCAGCTTAATGCTGCTGTGTTTTGTATGGTGAGTGTAGATAATCGGAGACCCTTTTTACTGGTAACACATCTATATTTTGATGCCTAATTAGGTGCCTGTATGTACATATGCGCTAAAGTATCTACTTATTGTCAAGTGGTCTCCGGGCTCGTTTGTCACCATTATTCTATAAGAATTAAGAAATATGCTTATATATTTATATAATGGTGTTTGGTCTTTGAGTATTCAACCAATTCGAGAGGCCATGCGCGTAATTTCTAAACAAAAAGTCTGTCACTTACAGGGAGAGGCGAGGACATACTACTGTATACTTCACTATAAATACGCACGTACACACTACAGCATTTGTGTTTGTGTTCACTTGTGCATTTACGCATACCATCTAATTGTACACTGGAGCCGCAGTCCATATGCATACGCAACGTAGGGCGAGGACTATGCCGATATTATTTTTATCGATAAAAAATCATCATAATCCGCATAATTTTTTTGATTTTGCGATTTTTTATTCATTACAGCTCTTCACAAGTCCACTGTTGAACATAGGCCTCCCCCAAGAAATGCCACAAAGCACGGTCCTAAGCCACCTGCATATCTTACCAGGTCGTCACTCGATCTAATGGGGGGGGGAGAGGGTTACCCCCACACTTCGACCACCGGTACGAGGCTGCCCTTAACAACCGATGGGGAAAAAGGTAATTTTTTCCCCATCGGTTGTCGGTTCTTCAAGCTATATGGCCGGTCTATTGCCACTTCAGCTTACTAAACCGTTGGGCTATGTCGGTCAGTCTGGTTCTACTGCGGAAATTCTTATTTCTAAATTTATCATGCAAAGAAACCTCGAGCATAGCCTTCTCCATAACTCGCTGAGCGGCTTTGAGCTTTCTCCTACGACCAGCAGAGAAGGGATTTTTAGTGTAATATAAAATTATGGCCAGTTTTTCAAAGATTTTCTTTTCAAAGACAATAGCTACATCGTAATTATCGGATATAAAATCAAACCCGTAGTCAACATAGCCATGCTGCTAGCATGGTATTCCGTCAATCGCTTAATTTTCATTTCATCCATGACCAAGGTACAATAAATTTTTTACCAGGGTTAGTCTCCACTCTCAATTTTAATGCCGTCAGCGCTTCTTGATTAAACCCTGGTCGGTCATCGATGGTACTGTAACACTTAGTCAATGTCCGTGGTGCAGGCAATCATGTTCCAAAAGTTTTACGTGTACATAGTGATAGGTTTTTGGTTAATAATTAAGTGTTAGGCCGAAACATATTTTTATACGTGGTAGAGCCATGCTGCAGTTATATTAGAAGTATAGTTGTAGCACGAATGGGGAAGGGCCACGCTCTCACAGAATACCAGCGTAAAATAGTAGCTTAATGTTGCTGTGTTTCGTATGATGAGTGTAGAGAACCGGAGACCCTTTTTACTGCAAACGAGGCATTCCATCTTATTCCTCACGGGTGACAACGCATCTACATTTTGATTCGTAATCGGGGATAGATGTAGATGTCTATGGGCCACAACAACCACTTACCATCTGGTGGACTGTGTGCTCGTTTGTCACCCTAGCCTATAAAAAAAATTAACTCTGGGGAACATTTATTTCTGGGCAGTTTTCCAGTCTTACTTTTAAATAATTGTTTCATAAAAGTTTGCTTTCTTCGATTTCAAAATTTTCAAGCGACTTGAGGTATTCAATTCGACTGTATGTTTTTTTTGTGTGTGTTATAACTTTTTTCTAGTTGAACCGATTTTCATGATTCTTTTTGTCTGAAAGGTGGTGCTCCTTGTGTTATCCCATATAAATTGATCAAGATCTGACAAGTAGTTTTTGAGTTATTCTTAAATAATGCGTATTCAATGATTTTTTTAGTTAAATAAGTCATTTAAGACTTCGAATAAATTGATGATGGTGTTCCCATTTTATTTATATCGAAGTCGGTTGTATAAATTTTTTAATTTGACCACTTGTCTAGGACCTGTTTGTTTTCTTTATTTATCAAAGATGTCTCTGTCAGCGAATCTAGTATCTCTTGCAAACTTATAATTTTTTCTTTAAATACCTTTTCTGCGATTGAAGTCTTTTTATGTTATTGCTTTTTATTTTGAGGCGTTTTGTAAATTTAACTTTACTGGTTGTACAGTCTGTTCGCTTAGATACGGTCGCTTTTTTGCCGCGCCGCCTCGGTACTTGCCGCATTTTGTCCAAGGCACCGCCGCGACATTAAAGATCATGCTATAAAGTACCCGAAACGTCAGGAATCAAAAGTCAAAATTAAACGCGATAAAATCCGAATAATTAGTGTGGCCGTAGAAGGAAAAGGGGAAATCTCCCGCCGGGCAAGGTGTTCTGCCCGGGGAGCGGCCAACACTCCGTGTGATAGTTCGGAGATGTTCTATATGTACTGTTTATGATTCGGAATTTTGATAGCGTGATTAAGGCTTCGGTGTGCCTTCCTTCCTTTCCTTTCGTTTTCCTTTTCCTTCCTTTTGTTCTTTAATAATTTTATAAACATTATTTTCGGACACACCACATGCACTTGCTGTTTTTATTACTGTGCTCTCCACAGTCGCATTTAAATCACACAGTTTAAAGTACTTATAAACATTGTAAATTACGCGTCTCTCTCCGCTATGGATTATTGATCCACTTTTATTCTTTCGAATAGGTGAGGTATTCATTTTCAAAATTTAATGTTGAACGAGTAACACGCAAAATACACAACCGTTTTGTTCGAAGGCCTGACTTCAACTGGTCACTGTGAACTCGACTTTCTAATTTCTTGCATTTTAATTGGCTGGGGGGCGTGGCCAGGCCGGCGGATAACGATGACTCACTATTTTCTTAACGCGAACGGACTATAATCTTCTTTTATTGATAGCTTGGGGTATGAAATATGATTTATCGAAAGCAGCGTTTAGATATCCAAGATTCATGATTTCTACAAGCTGCAATCCAAGTCTTCCGCCCAAGAGGATCTTTGGAAGAAAAATAAACCAATAATAGAAAAATTTACTGCTTTTTGTAATACTTTATTATATAAACTAAAAACCGGTTCGGCAGCCAAACCCGAATGGCGTAAATCACTATATTGTAGTACTTTCGGTTGCAGTGATACCACATTGTCGAAATTAATTGTCGTAAATATATTTATTTTGTGTAGTAAATTATAATTATTTAAAGATAAATTATTTTTCATTTCATGAACTATGATAGCAACACTTGGAATTTGACGAAAATATTGAGAAAATACGAGTTTTAACGATAATATTGTATGTTCAATATGTTATGTTCACAGATTTTTGATTATTTTTTGCATGAAAATACACTGCAATTCGGCATTTTTGTCGGAGCTCGATTGACTGGCGCAATCACTTGCGGAATGGCGCACGACTCGGAGCAAAATAGACTTTGACAGAGGGGTTTGCCTTGCGATGCCGCCTCCTTTTGGTTTAATACTTACTTGGTATACAATTTACTTGTATGTATATGTTATGAATTTGTTTGTGATCATATGCATTTACGTAATTTATAAAACCTAATTTTCATTTGCTTATTTATCTTATTTAGCACAGCTATATATATTTTTTATATATTGTATTTAGTTAGTTAAACATCTGCCATTACTTTTACCATGTTTTGAGATGACTGGCAAAACTCAAATCAACAAATAAAAAATAAACATTTTTGAAAAGGAACGGCGTTGCGCTACTTTCTTAGTTTAGTCATATGAATATAGCCATATGACTCAAAACTAACCCCTTGTACTGTTTGCCGTTTGTTACAGTTGCCTTGTTATGTGATGTCGTTATAGTGCGAATCGAAGATAGAATGTTATAATTACAACGATTTTATTGTATGCATTTATATACCTGTGAGCTTCTTACTACAGACGATGAAGAATCTATATTAAAGTCCTGGGGTTCCAGCCGTCTCAATGTATTCAACAACAAATCAGGACGAAGAGATTCCCTCGGGGGCAAGTACCGGTTATCGTCTGGAAAAAAATTACTAATATGTATAACTAAAAATAACTAAACATTTGTGTCGATAACATGAATGTAGCCAGAGCGAATGTGTATAAAATTAAAAAAAAGAGGAAGCTGGCATCTTGCTGTACTTGGGGTGTCCTCCTGATATATTTTAATCTAGGCGATATCTCACTGATAATGCTAAATGTCAAAAACATAGAAATTATAGTGCAGTAAGTTTACGCACCAAAACAGTGGCACTCGTTTGTCACAAACCTTTAACGTTTAACCGATTTCGTTGTAACGATCATCATAAATTAGACTAAGATGCAGCTACAGATACGAGGGAAGTTCCAAAGTCTGCGAGATGAATATCACTTGACATAATTAGTTTATTTCTATGATCCACTGTCAACATATATTTACTTCGTGAAATCAACTTTTTTAAGCTCACAAAAATATTTCTATCTATTCCCGTAAAATGGTTCGAAATAGCCACATCAACTCAATTATCGACCGAAAATGTTCTTTCCTTATACTTTTTTTATAATTGATAACAAATTAAAGTACCTGCGTATCAAATTTGGATAGTAAGATGGGTGAAGAAGTGATTCGAATCAGTATTTATATTAAGTAGCCATTGCAAAGTTGTTCTTGTAAAGCGGTCCGTTTACCCAGATAAAATTCACGCCAGTCACCCAGGGAGGTGGGTAGATAGAAACTACGGACTACCATTTGGCACGAACCAGACTCCCCACTCTCGCTTCTTTCACATCCATATATCTACGCATACATGCTTATCGATTAAGCATTTATTACTCCTAATTTAGCACGTTAACAAAATATCGCCATTTAGAAGAGTTGCGAGACTTGTTTCTTTTTATAAGTTACGTTTTTGATGGCATTAAATATACTAAACAGTAAACAAAAACTATTTCAACAAGTACATTTACAAAAAATTATTTACGTAAACAGCGTTAAAAACTTTAACATTCAATCGCCTACAACGCGCTAGCCCCGACTACGTATTTCGCCCTAGGTGCATCGCAATTGTAGATAATTATTTCACGCACGTAGCAAGAGTGACAGAGGCCTGACATTACTGCCATTTAATCTGTATTGCTACATTTGTAGACCCCTCAGAACAACACTTTTTATAAGAATAGAACAGCGATTGTCCACCGACACTGTCACCGAGACGTCAACGAGACGACGGCGCTAAGGTAGCGACAGTCCGAGATTGTAACGGGCCGATGTACCGGCAATACAAAACACATTTAAACTTGTCCATCCATAGCGGCGCCGTGACGTCGCACTGTGCCGACGCACGACTGCTACAACTGACTGAACCACCGAGATGGACACGGTGAACAAACAATCGCCGTAACGTCATCTTGATCTCGGCCAGAAATAATCTCGTTCTCGTTGACGTCCCGGTGACGGCGGCGGTGGACAATCGCCCTTATACAAAGAAAATTCTTAAAAAAAATATTACAACTAGTCTACTAAATTATGAGAATTAAGATTATATGAGAAATAAATTAACAGATTTTACTTCAAATAACGACCTGCCGACACTATGCTACTTTACTATTAGAACTACGTCGGCTTCGCAGGTCACTGTAACTTTCACACCGTGTAAGAATTATTTCAGTTGTAACATATTTTTTTAAAGCCTTAAAGTAATCGAGTTATATGAAAACCTCTGAATTAGGGGGTTTCACCTATTGATTTTGTATCTATCTATTGATTTTAAAATATTATGATGGTTTTTTACAGAAACAACTCTGTAACAGCGCATCTACATGGTGTATCAAGTACTACATCGACCTACGAAGCTGACGTAGTTTATTCAATGGCGCTGTTATTAATGCCGCATAGGTTCCATACATTAGTTAACAGAGCCTGGTATTGATAAACAAATAAAAATTATTGACCTTGGCCTGACCAAAGGTCTGATATAGCTGGTCCGACACAATGTCGGAATCTGAGAGGTTAATGAGCTGAGGGGTTTATTTGCATGCCATTAACACATGAATATTGAATTACCTTTTTTAAATTTTGTTCTATCTGTCAGTCTGTCCGGGCTAATCTCCCGAATGGCTGAACCGTTAGTAATAAAACTTTACGAACAAATAGAGAGCAATGTCAGGAGTGATCTGTAATATATTTTATCCGAAATCTTGAGTAATTTTGCCATAAAAAATTGATGAGATAATGGTCCCTCATAATCTAAAATCTAAATAACGCTTCGTTAATAGATCCTACACAGGCGAAGCCAGGCTGGATCGCTTGTATATAATAATATTTGCAATCAGCCACAGCATGCCTCGCTAGTTTTTGAAGAAAAAGGAACACTCACCTAGGAGACGACAGAGAGTATGCGCCGCTTCCAATTGTACAGCAGCGCACTTCACAAACAGAAGCCGCGTTAAGCCCGCGACCATTTCGGCGACTGACACACCCATACATTCCACTATATCAGGCTCCAAGGATTTGCAGATGGCTTTTCCTGCATATAAGAGACAATATACAATATGTAACGTAATTAACGCACACCCTCAGACACCACAATTAGTATATTATGTTATAATCATAATACATACACTGAATATTTAGTTAAACATTTTTATGCACTGATTATTTATCAAATTAGTTATACTAATTCCGGATGAATGTTGTGGTCACAGTACAAATCCACGAACGCAAAGACTTTAACGTGCTTGAAATAAAGATCATCTTTCTATATTTTTATTGAATGACAGAATTAGTAATAATACAAATAAAACTGCACTCCTAAAAGTCATATTGCCTTAAGTTACGGTCCATTTCAGTTTGTTTTGACTGTACAGATTTAGTGTGACTGTAATTTACGTAGTTTTAATTATTTTTGCGATAAAAAATTACCTATATTTAAAATGATAGGAATCGATTCAGTAAACGATTCTGAACAAACTACTTTCTCAAAGTGCGTTAATTATGTTACATGTTATATAAAAAGAAATACATTGAAAATGAAAATTTTTTTTTATTTACAGCTAAGGTGGTACAGATTAATAATATACAATATAAGATAATGAAATAGAAGTGCAGTAGTCTAATTTCTTTAGTATATAATTATAAACTATGATCTTAACACATCAACTAAGCTGGAGTGTATAAACAATGGTGTATAGTTCTGTGGTCCTCACACTAAGCTTGCCTGTGTCGTGAGGATCTGAAACGTTTATCTTATCACACATGGCTTTCATAAACTGACATTGGGTCATCGTACGATTAATTATTAGATTATGTAAGCTATTTTTTAATAAAATAAAACAATTTTATATTATATAATATACGAAAAAAAGTTATTTGTTCATAAATACTAAAATATAATTTATTTTTTATTAAAATATAAATAAATAATTTTTTAATAAAATTATTATTATTATTATTATTATAAAACATAACAAAAACAAAGACCCAAATCTTTTCAATTTATTTTCAAAATACAATATTAGTTGAAAAGCGGATTATGTAAAAGTAAATAATTACCCAATTGCGTGTCATGTGCTGCGTAAACATGAAGCAAAGGCAGAATTGGTAACAAACTGGCTAGAAGACGCCACCAACAGCTCTCACTAAGCACTAGCCTCCCTCGTATTAGATATAGCATGATCTCTGATGCGCTTGCATTCACCTTTTAACACATAATTATTAATTTACCTCTAATTATTGTGATCGTTTTAAAAATAACTATTAATTTTAGCACTAAACATAATTTACAAAACAAAAGAGCGGGGAAGAACAATTGATATAGTAAAGATATTAATTAATTTGTAACCATCCGCTAACTAAATACAATGATGTGTCTTACTTGGATTGAAGAGCACCTCCCGCCCTCCCTCAATTGCGTGCACCAATCCCAATCAAGTCAGCGGCTTAGCGGTCAGCCGCCGTAGAGTCTACATCACCTGAGGATGCCTCGTGTAGAGGCGAAACACGTGTCGTATTATCGTCGATGGTGTGTCTTTCATGGAATAGTGGTGTTGGGAGTAGTGGTGCTGGGATTAGTGGTGACGGGATTGGTGTACGCAATTGAGGGAGGGCGGGAGGCGCTCTTCAATCCAGGTAAGACACAACATTGTATTTAGTTAGCGGATGGTTGCAAATTAATCAATATCTTTATTATAATGGATTTCCGCAAAGTAACGCCTGATTCCATCAATTGATATAGTTTCGCTCTATGTCAAGAAGCAGTTAATTTAGCCCTAAATCCAAGCCATGTGCAACCTTTAATGTACTTTTGGCCATTAAATTTAAAATGGGAGATATCCCGCTAGCAAGGTGTTTTATTCGAGGAGCGACCAACGCTCTTGGTGGTGTTATGGAGCTTGTTCTACATGAGGAGTCGTTAATTTACAATAGCGCGACAACAACTCCGTACACTTAATAACATGCTAAATTGAATAGTTCAATTTAAAACAACATGAATACATTTACTTTATATACTAATGTGGAACTTGCGCACGTACGTACTATATTACCTCATTAAGATCCGAAGACAGTCCGTGACAGCAAATTTCGGTCAAAATACCAACATCACAGATCAATATCAAGCATTGCTCGTGTTCAGTTTGATAAGCTTCTTCACCAAACAAAATAGACTTTACCATCTCTGCCAACATCTGATAAAACTTAACTTTCACCCATTCCTTATTATGCGCCATTATTCTCAATACAATGCTTCTCACCATTGACCAATCACTTTCATCGAAATTCATATCCTTGCTTTTATACAACAATATGTTCGTAATGTCTTTTAAAAAAGCTTCATTATGGTGCAACCCGAGAATAGGAAGAGAGTTCTTAATTTCTGTGAAAATTTCTTTGGAATCTTTGTAGATTTTTTTATTTTTCATAAATTGAACCGCATAATCCATACTAATGAACAATTTCTTAAGTACTTTATACTTATTTTTGTGTTCTGGGTCCAGTAATGTTTTTGAGGCCTAGAAAAGTAATAATAAAAATCATCATTATTACAGGTACTCGATTCTTGGAAAGAATAATGGATCTTCTCATAAAGCCATTAATATATAGCCACAATTATCTCATAAATTAAAAAAAAACTAAAGAGCCACAAATATCAATTTATTGTGTATTATATTAATTTGTTTTTTGAAATGGGTTTCAAACACTGACCTCTATGTAACTATAGAGGTCAGTGTTTGAAGATCCTCCTCACTGGATTGATGATACTTTCTAAGCCTATTTTAACCGTTACGACAGATTACGAATAATTTTTTAATTATATATTTTAATAATACAACATAAGTCATTAATTTCCAGCTTACCACACGCCATGAAACTACTAGACAACTAGAAAAAAAGGAATTAGTCCCGAAATCCAATAATTTGTATACTACACAGAAGCTATTTTCTTCAAACTGGTGACACCCTTAAAGTCAAAGTGAGTGAGTGCCTGTACGTGATACATGTACGTAATACGTGATATTACGTGGAACCGATAATCATTTAAAACGTTCTCGAGTAGAAGGTTTACACCAGACGAGGTGGCCTAAAGTCACGCTTAGAGATTAACTATGGTAGAGTCTTATGTCGCTCATTATACTGGAGCAAATGAAATGATTATATATAAGCAAATGAAATGATTTATATAGGAGCAAATGAAATGATTATACAGGGTGTCCCAGAACTCAACGTCAAGCCGAAACAGGGTGACAGGAATGATTGTTAAGATCATGAGAAAAATCAGAAAAAAATCTATCACATGCAGTTCGGAAATTATGGCCATTTAAGAAAAATCTAGAATTTTGGTGAAACTGTAACCATTTTCCGGTTTTTGTGGTTAATTTTCATTATTTTTGTTCATTTAAACTTTGGAACCGTAACCCTAAATAACATTTCTAGAACAACAGTCAAAAATAATGACACAACTGCCCCAAGTTTTCTAGAATTAAGACTATTTGTTAAACTATGAATTTAAAATTTTTTACATTTGTCGACTTTGAAAGGTCCTCCTTTAAAAAAAATATACTAAAGAGTGTTGGCAAGTGCCATTAAAAGTTTGCGCATTTAACCAGCATTGTAAAATGGTATAATACTTGTTAGTTTCATACTAAAAAAAAACTAGTTAAAAATAAAAACATCGAGTAACCCGATTTTTGCTAACCCATTTTACTCAGTTTAAATGTTTTTTATTCACACAATCTCTTGGTAGGTTCTTAATTTTACGGAAAAATTATGAGAGAGATGGATAATAGACATGATTGCCGTGAGCGACCGAGACAGATAGTGACGCCACGCAATGAGACGGAGATGCGTCTAACACCAGTTAGTACGATTCGCTCATTCGTCTACTGCGCACCTTTCTGTATTCGCTTGTGTTGATTTAATACTGACAACTTGGCTTCTATTTTTGGACTTAGATTATTGTGAATTGGACTTGTTGATTACATACCGGGCAACTTTGGCTTCTCTATTTTGGAATTGCACTTTTGGCTTCTCTTTTTGGACTTAGATTATTGTGAATTGGACTTGTTGATTACATACCGGGCAACTTTAGCTTCTCTCTTTTGGAATTGCACTTTTGTGTTGGCATCCTTGTTATCTACCATGCCTACGCGCTACACTTCACAAGAATATGCCAACATGCACCTCATTTATGGGGAATGCAGATGCAACGCAAGTGCCGCCGCTAGACTTTATCGTGAAAGATATCCAACTTTAGAGCGGATCACCGCGTGTTTGTTAATGTGCACCGTTCACTTACGGAGGGCGGCCATTTCCCGAATCAAATAAGGGCCGGAGGTAGAGCTCGCTTTCCTTACGAGGAAGAAGTGTTGCAAGAGGTCGCAGATGATCCAAGTATTTCCGTTCGTGGAATTGAAGAAAGAACGGGAATACCCAAAAGCACATCACATCGTATTTTACAAAGAGCCGACATGCATCCGTTTCACGTACAACGCGTTCAAAGTCTTCTTCCTCGAGATTATCCTGAAAGGATTTCATTTTGTAGAACAATGCTACAGAGGCATAACGAAAATCCCCAATTCATCCAAAAAATTCTCTGGTCAGATGAATCTACATTTAAAAAAGATGGTTACATAAACTTACACAATTTTCACGAGTGGCATGTGGCGAATCCACATTTAATGCGAGAAGATAGATCCCAGTATCGCTTTAAAGTAAACCTGTGGACCGGAATTTTAAACGGCAAAATTGTTGGGCCTTTTGAGCTGCCTGAGAACTTTAATGGTACGAATTACTTACATTTTTTACGAGAAAATTTACCAACTTTGTTAGAGGACGTACCACTAGCAGATCGTCGCCACATGTGGTATCAACAAGATGGCTGCCCAGCGCATTACGCGGTGCAAGTAAGAGATTTTCTTGACCAGGAATATCCGGGAAGGTGCATTGGGCGTTCAGGCACTATCTCGTGGCCAGCCCGTTCCCCAGATTTAAATCCCATGGATTTTTTTTATTGGGGCGTTCTCAAAGAAAAAGTTTATTCAAAGCCCATTGACAGTGTAGCCGAGCTGCGTGAACGAATTTCTCAAGCTGCTGAGGACATCAACTCTCGAGGATATGCCCGACTAATAACTAGATCTTTTTTAAGAAGATGTAGGGCGTGTATTGAGGCTGATGGTAAACCATTTGAACACTTATTGTAATAAAAAAATGTTATTTCCCTATCTGACTTTTATTCCAATAAACCTAAACTAAACTAGGTCAAGATTTTTCATTATTTTGTTAATTTTACTTACTTCTGTTGACTTTTGTAAAATTGGCGTCACTATTTGTCTTGCTCGCTCATGGCAAACATCTCCACTATCCATCTCTCAAATCAAAAAAAAAACATTTGAACTAAGTAAAATGGGTTACCAAAAATCGGGTTACTCGAGGTTTTTATTTATTTACTTGTTTTTTTTTAGAATAAAACCAACAAGTATTGTACCATTTTACAATCCTGATTAAATGCGCATACTTTTAATGGCACTTGCCAAGGCACTTTAGTACATTTTTTTTAAAGGAGGACCTTTCAAAGTCGACAAATGTTGAAAATTTTAAATTCATAGTTTAGCAAACAGTCTTAATTCTAGAAAACTTGGGGCAGTTGTATCATTATTTTTGACTGTTGTTCTAGAAATCTTATTTAGGGTTACAGTTCCAAAGTTTAATTGAACAAAAAAGAATGAAAATTAACCACAAAAACCGAAAAATGGTTACAGTTTCACCAAAATTCTAAATTTTTCTTAAATGCCCATAATTTCCGAACTGCATGGGATAGATTTTTTTTCTGATTTTTCTCATGATCGTAACAATCATTCTTGTCACCCTGTTTCGGCTTGACGTTGAGTTCTGGGACACCCTGTATATAAACATCTTTTAAAATACCTTCATGTATTTCAAGAGTTGATTATACATAGTAAAAAGTTATAAAAATTAGTAAAATAAAAAATTACTATCTTCCTGACGCAGCATGGTGACCATGCGTATGCTGTTCGTTAAGCTCTTTAAAGACGTATAGTGTGTTTTTGTAGTCAGTTCTGTCTGACGCTAGCCGAAATCAATCAAGTGAACATAAGCTTTCAAACAAAAACGTAGTAGAATATGTTGTACTATATTTATAGGATTTACTCCCACCGCCATTAACACGGTCAATCAACCAATAAATATAAAACTGCGATTGCCAACCCGCCTGTCAAGCGTGGCAACTATATCCTCATTACACATATATTTTTTACGTGGTAGCGCCATGCTGCAGCTATACTATAGTCGTAGCACGAATTTGTCGCCTCGACCGGAGCAGGATCACGCTCTCACAGAATACCAACGTAAAATAGCAGCGTAATGTTGCTATGTTTCGTATGGTAAGTGTTGAGAACCAGACTCTTTTTTTCTGGAATCAAAGCATTCCATCTTAGTCCTCAGGGGTGACAACGCATTTGCATTTAGATTCTCAATTGAGGATTAATGTGGATGTGTATGGGCCACAGCATCCACTAACAATCAGGTGGACTGTGTGCTCGTTTGTTACCCAACGCTATAAAAAATTTGGCAATCTATGTAAGTCCTATGTTCAGCAGTGAACTTTAGATAGACTGTAAAGGCAGCGGCCATTCCAAACACAATTATAAACAGATTAAGTGACAAAAATCTCCTTTAATATGGCTCTAAACAATTGTACTGTATCATATAAAATAAATATAAATAATAAATATAATCCACAATCACTTGTTATCTCTTACCATCAGTATATATGTGGATGAGAAAATCCATCACCCCATCCCAACATATAGGAGTCGTCAGAAATGTCAAACTTATAATTAAAACTTGCCTGTCTTTAAAAAAAAAGTCGATTGAAAGAGATGCGTTTCTTGCCGGTTCTTCCCGGGGACAAAGGTTTGTTCGTGAACCAGTGGTAAAGTAAAATTATTACTTTCTATAAAAATTACATGTGAATTCAAGAAAAAAAACATTGAAAAAAAAATACTATTCCATTCTGTTCAACGAGCCGTGGTAGCTCAGATGGTTAACGCTTGCTGTAAATATAATAGAACGCGAGTAACCCGGCTTCGATCCCAGCCGGCACAAATGAAATGGTTAATTGCAATTTTAAGTGCTGATTTACCACGTGCTCGGCGGTGAAGGAAGACATGTGAAGTTCGTCAACACGCATTAAGGCAGCGCGGCGGACACTTCCTTGCCCTAAAACCCTCTCAGAAATGAGGGGAGGTCTGTGCCCAGCAGTGGAAGTGGAACGTATATAGGCTGTAACTTTACTTTACTTTTTTCTGTTCAACGATGATGGGAGAGGCCTGTGTCCAGCAGTGGATTGTTTATGGGCTGATGAGAATGAAACTTACCAAAAGAGAATCGTTAATTTTCTTGCTCAACTCAGGATATAGTAACTCCAGCGCTGGGTCTAACTGCGCTACTTGAAGAGCTTCAATCAAGGAAGCAGGAGGTAGGGGAGATTTTTTAGCCCAATTCAAAAGCTTTTCGGCGCATGATGTCAATCTGAGCCAAGCTATTCTATGATGTACTCTTTCTATATTGTCTGTAAAGGATTTCCTAAAATTCATAATAAAACCATCTTTACCTGCTCCTTTACATTGATATATCATTCAAGTTTGTTATACAAAAGTATAAACAAGTGTTTTAATAAAACTTTTTAGGAAGTGCAATTCTAAACTTTGTAAGCCGAACTGCAATTACCAGCATTCTTGTTGTTTTGTGGGTTGATCTGAAATCTGGCTCCCAATTCATTTACCTTGAGCCATAAACAAGAAGTGTGTGAACAGCTTATTAATTTTGCCATTAGTAGTTTACAGTTTTTTTAATAGTATAAGGGTGATAAACAAACACACAGTCCACCTGATGGTAAGTGATGCTGTGGCTCTTAAACATTACATTTATTTTCGATTAAGAATCTTCGATAAGATAAAAAGGGTTACACAGTCATTTATTACATGACAATAGTTACGTATCTTAGCATGGACGTGGACGGCCTCTTACTTCAGTAAAAATAGTTTAATTCAAAGCCTAAACTGATTTGTATTCAAATATTTAAAAAAAAAAACTTTTTTAATTCTCAACATTTCGGGCACCTTACATTGTCACAGAGAACTGAGGTGTTTAATATGCTAGTGTCATAGAACTACACAAAACAAGCATATTGTGTTTAAGTCTTGTAATGGTATACTTGAGCTTGGATTGTATTTTATTAACTACTAGCTGGTACCCAGCGCGTTGCTACCACAGAATAAATAATTGTGTGAATATTGTTTCAAATTTGGAAGAGTTTTAGAAATGATAATACATTTATTGAAATTGAATGATATATAATACAGCTTCTAAATGAATTTGTCCTAATGTAAAAGTTAATTGTACTATACGCCTATAACCTTCGTGCAAGTACAAGCAATATGTTGAAAGTTTTACCGCAATCTGACGAAAGGTAGCGCAAAAATACGTACAAAAAAAATTAAAATTTTATTTATTATATAGAATATTTAATCCCAAGAGTGTCGCATAGCACCCAGCCATCTTCTCTCTTGAAATAAGGACATTTTATATTTAAATAGCCTCCTAAATCATACTTGGTATAAATTGGTGTTTTTGCGAGAATTTGTAGACTATCAAATCTGATGTAATGGTTGGGCCGCTCCTAAACATGATCACATGCTGCATACTTCTCGGAGCGTCAATGCTTGAAGTCAGCTAACTGGACACATTCGATTATGTGCCTGCTGTACCATAGTATTATGTCAAAGGAGTCGCAGACAAGATTGGCTACATCTTCAAGTGGGCTTCCATAGGAACGTACTACCAGCTGCCGAAGAAGATTAGTCAGTTTTTACTATCCTGTAAAATGTATTATCCCTTTACAAGATGTAGGCGTGTACAAACTAGATTGTGAATGTGGTCTTTCTTATATAGGATAAATAAAACCCGCGTAAAAAACGTATAGGTTGGTGACGTGAAACACAGAAGTCTGCAGTCTGTTTTTCAAGTTCAACATTTTCAAGACCATGCCCGCCATTACATCAGATTTTATTTATCAAATCTGATGTAATGGCACAAATCCGATCCACAAATCCTAGCAAACGAACACTGATTCCTACAAAGATGATTCGCGAGGCTATTGAAATTCCTAGTGAAACATATGCTATTGAAAGTGCTACCATCTCCTTAGGATTCTATAATCCTAAGTAGATGGTAGCACTTTCATAAATAAAATTAAATCCGAACCCAAGCAGACAACTGCAAGACTTCAAAATACTATGATTGTTCTGCATAGCTCCGACCAAAAATTAATACTTAAATGTTTAAGGTTGCCTTAGTTAACTATGACATCAGTATATCAATCACCTCCGTCCTCCTTACCAATAAAGTAATACGAGGGCGACATTAAAAGTTCTTATAAAATCAAAAACTGAACAAACTAGCAAGTTATTAGTTTTATTATATCTTTTCAAAATAGTGTCCAATTACATCAATACATCGCTGCATCCGATGGAACCACTGAGAAAAGCACTTTGCCCACTCGTCCTTAGGGGTCTCTTCGACGGCATTTTGAAACGCAGCCACTGCTTCCTCGGCGTCGATAAAACGTTTTCCTCGAAGTTTTTCTTTTATTTTCGGAAATAAATAAAAATCGCAAGGTGCGAGGTCGGGGCTACAGGGCGGGTGACCCAGTAATTCCACGTCTGACGTCGTCAAGTAGTCGATTGTTTGCTTGGCGGTGTGCGACGAGGCGTTGTCGTGGTGAAGGAGGATCCTACTGCGAGGTCGTTTCTCCCGAACATTTTCCAAGATAAATGGCAAACAATTGTTAGTGTACCACTCTGCAGTAAGTGTTTTTCAATCCTCTAAAACAATTGTTGCGTAATGACCTGTCCTTCCGTAGAACGAGGCCACCTTCTTTTTTCCCACGCGTCGACCTCTCTTCACTTTAATTGGCAACTCCTCGCAAGGAAACACCCAGACAGCAGACTATCTCTTAGTTTCAGGATCATAACAATATATCCAATCCAGCTTTCGTCACCCGTATGTCGAACACATCATTTGAGTCACCTCCGTTAAATCTTTGAACCATTCACGACAACAATCAACACGATTTTGGGCCTCTGTCAAATTATTAGGTATCCACCGGGCACAAGCCTTCCTGATCGCTAAATGTTCATGGAGGATTTTGTGAACTTGACTCATAACGATGCCTAAGCTTGTCCGAATCTGCTGATAAGTCACTCGTTTGTCTCTATCATACGCCGAACAACACTGATGTTATCTTCATTTATCGCCGTAGAAAGCCGTCCCTCACGCAGAGCATCGGTGAGATTAGTGCGACCACGTTTAAACTCATTAAACCAGTTGTAAACATGGCACGAGATGGGGCCTCATCGTGAAAGGCCAATTGAAATCTATCATAATTTTCTTGTTGACTTAAATGACATCGAAAGTCATAAAAAATCATTGTACGAAAATTTTCTCGCGTTAAATTCATGCTAACGTTACACAGACAATTTTCAATTTGTCGCCCAATCGTAAACAAATAACAAATTAATAAAATACATACGAGGGCGGCACTGAAAATTACGGGAATCAAGGAAGTGACACAACATTACTATTTAAAAATGCTTTTATTGCTTTTCGAAGTATTCTCCGCGAAATTTGACACATTTTTCTATACGATGGAACCAATCATTGAAGCAACTATTCCATTCGGAGTTGGGGTCTCCAAAATGGACGTTTTGTAGGCGTCCACAGCTTCTTCAGGTGATGAAAATCTCTGTCCACGCAATTTATTCCTTATTTTAGGGAAAGTATAGAAATCATTAGGGCTTAGGTCGGGGCTGTACGGCGGATAGTCTAATAATTCTATGTTTTCTTGCTCTAAAAACTCTTTTGTTCTTTGTGTGCGGTGTGAGAACTCGCATTGTCGTGATGGAGGATGATGCGGCGGTTGCAGTTCTCTTTACGGAGTTCAGAAATGACCTGTGGCAAACAAATGCTAGCATACCATTCTGCATTAACCGTTCTTTGTCCCTCAAGAGGAATAGTCGTAACATGGCCGGTTTTGGAGACAAACGTGGCCACCATTTTTTTTTTGCAACACTCCGTGAACGAACAATTTTTGTTGGCTTTAACTCATTTTCGAACACCCAAACACGCGTATATCCAGGATTCGTCACCTGATACGATGTTGTATACAGCATTTGAGGATCCTGCGTGGAATCTTTCGAGAGTTCTGACGCACCAAGTAACGCGAGCCGCTTTTTGCTCTTCACAGAGCGAATGCGGTATCCATCGGGAAAACAACTTTTTTTACACCTAATTGTTCATGCAAGATTATTTGTATTTGACTCATGCCAATATCTAAAGTTGCCTGAATTTCGCGGTATGTCACATGTCGATCTTCCTCAATCAGCTTACGCACAGCATCAACGTTTTCTTGGGTGACTGCAGTTTCTGGACGACCTTGACGGGGATCATCACTGAGCTTCACACGTCCACGTTGAAATTCAGCAAACCAGCGATAAATTGTGGTTTTGGATGGGGCTTCATCACCAAATGCAGAAATCATCCGGTCAACACACTGTTTTTGTGTTAAACCACTTCGAAAGACATAATAAATCATCGCTCTTGAATTTTCTCGAGTCAATTCCATTTTCTCAATGACTAAACAAGTTTGACAAAACCTTGTGACTAGACCGAGAATCTTTTTTTTAAATTAATAAATGGTATTCGATTTTTAAAACTAAGGAGTTTTCAATTAAAAAGATTTTAATATGACAGGAACAGTGGAAATATTCCATTCCCGATACTTTTAGTGCAGCCTATGTATATATACAGTTCCATTTTCAAAATTTTAACTTATGTTTTTATTATATCGTTTACAAGTGGCCAGTTCTAAAAACTTTCAGTGTCGCCCTCGTATAACGGGAATCCCTAACTATGTGTGCTGCAAAGCGTTCAAAATGCTGGGAATGAAAAAAAAATTAAACTCTATAAAGGCTCATTCGATGTGTGGTATTCGCGTAAATATAAGTAATCTTTAATGTTTAATATTTTTTCTGTATGTGTAATTATGCAACTACGAGATGCGTCACTCCATTCTGTTAATACATGCAGGAAGTCGATGGGTGCAGGTAGCTCAGGGCCGTTTTTGTGGCATTCCTTGGCTGTGATAAATGATTAAATGAATGTGTAGTTATGCAAAGTGCCTTTTTCCTAAAAATCTCCAGGATTTTCTAATCTTATATTGTTAATGATTTTATGAATATTACTTACTTATATCTGATCATAAGATCGCCCAACATTCGCATTGTCATACAGCTTTTATGTGCTACATCTTTATGAGTTTTAGTACTATGTTCTACAATCCAAAATTTTTCAGTAACACAATCCAACAATAACCGTATAAGTGCTTCGAGCAGACTTATACAAGTATTTAATTCTTTCTGTAAAAAGCACAAAAATATTATATAGACAAATATGAACAAAAAAACAATATAAATACCTTAAATTAAACCTAGAAAGTAAAAAACTGGTAATTTTAATCATCATCATCATCATCATTACAGCCCTTCACAAGTCCACTGCTGAACATAGGCCTCCCCCAAGTAATGCCACAAAGCACGGTCCTGAGTCACCTGCATCCATCGACTTCCTGCATGTCTTACCAGGTGGTCACTCCATCTAGTGGGGGGTCGCCCTACACTACGCCTACCGGTACGAGGCTGCCACTCGAGAACCTTTCTTCCCCATCGGTTATCGGTTCTTCGAGCTATATGGCCGGCCCATTGCCACTTCAGCTTACTAATCCGTTGGGCTATGTCGGTCACTCTGGTTTTACTGCGGATATCCTCATTTCTGAGTCTTTCACGCAGTGTAACTCCGAGCATAGCCCTCCTCATAGCTCGCTGAGCGACCTTGAGCGTCCTCATACGGCCAGCGGTGAAGGACCACGTCTCAGATCCGTAAGTCATCACTGGCAACACGCACTGGTTATACACTTCAGTTTTCAGAGATTGAGGTATACCTGACGAGAAGATGTGTCGTAATTTCCCGAACGCTGCCCAGCCGAGTTGAATCCGTCGATTGACCTCTCTGTCGAAGTTGGACTTACCTAGTCGGACTATTTGTCCCAGGTAAACGTACTCGTCAACAACTTCGAGCATAGTGCTCCCAACAAACTACCGGCATAGGTGTGACATGGACATTAAACATGATCTTTGTTTTGTCCATGTTCATCTTAAGACCTATCCGTTGGGAGACACCATTGAGGTCATTGAGCATAGTGCTAAAGTCCTCCAGCGATTCTGTCATAAGGACTATATCGTCGGCAAATCGAAGGTGAGTGATGTACTCGCCATTGATGTTAATACCGTATACTTTCCAGTCCAGTAGCTTGAAAACGTCTTCCAACGCAGCGGTGAAGAGTTTCGGGGATATAACATCACCATGTCTTACACCTCTCTGCAGTTGGATAGGTTTCGTACTCTGGTTCTGTACTCGGATAGCCATCGTAGCCCTACTGTACAAACACTTCAGCACTTCAATATACCGACAGTCAACTAGGCACCGCAGAAGAGACTGTAGCACCGCCCAAATTTCGACGGAATCAAAGGCTTTCTCATAGTCCACATACGCCAGGCAAAGTGGCAGATTGTACTCTTCGGACTTCTGTACAATTTGCCGAAGGGTATGTATGTGGTCTATGGTACAGAAGCCGTTTCGGAAACCGGCTTGTTCGGGAGGCTGGAAGTCGTTTGCCGTGTAGTGGCGGTTGAGAATATCCACTACCCCATATCTTCCCGTGGGTGTCGTAAGAGGCGACAGAGGGAGACAGGCAGGAGATGGGCAGCAGCATCTTTCTGATAACAACTGTGTTATAATAAAAAACGGCGGTTGCCAACCCGCTCGCCAAGCGTGGCAACTATGGCAAATATCACACCATGAATAACGTCGCAAAAAAACGGCCCCCAGTCCCCGACGGCCCCGCTATTCCTGGCTACGGTGGCGACCATGGTAACGGCGGGGCAGGGGGTGCTAAGAATCTCCGGTGGAGGCTCGGTTGCCACCTACGACGACTCGACCTGGCAACATATAACACACGCACTCTGAGGACTGACGAGAAGATACTCGAGTTGGAAGAAGAGGTAGACAAGTTGCGCTGGCATATTATTGGATTATCCGAGGTCCGAAGAGAGGGGGAGGATACGGCAATCCTCGAGTCCGGCAACTTGTTCTACCACCGGGAGGGCGACCATCTGTCCCAAGGAGGTGTCGGATTTATCGTCCACAAGTCTCTCATCAACAACGTTGTAAAGATTGGGAGTGTGTCGACGAGGGTCGCGTACCTGATACTCAGAATCACCAAACGGTATTCGCTGAAGGTCATACAGGTTTACGCACCAACCTCGGCACATCCCGATGAGGAGGTGGAGGAAATGTATGAGGATATTTCCAGAGCCATGCATTCCTCCAAAACCCACTACACGGTGTTGATGGGAGACTTCAACGCAAAACTAGGCACAAGAGAAAGCGGTGAGCTGAAGGTGGGGAAATTTGGAGTAGGGCAACGGAACCGAAGGGGCCAGCAGCTGGCCGACTTTATGGAGAAAGAGGGACTCTTTATGATGAACTCTTTCTTCCAGAAGCGGCCCCACAGGAAGTGGACCTGGTCGAGCCCCGACGGTTCGACAAAAAATGAGATTGACTTCATTATGACGACCAGACGCCAACTGTTCAGTGATGTCTCAGTGATCGCAAGGGTGAAAACTGGCAGCGATCACCGAATGGTTAGAGGCACACTGAACCTAAATGTTAAGTTGGAGAGGTCTCGTCTAATGAAGTCAACGCTCCGTCCCCCTCATGCTCTAATACAGAATCCCGAAACCTTTCAGCTCGAGTTACAAAACCGCTTTCAGTGCCTAGAGGATTGCAATGCAGTGGACGATATGAATGACAAGCTCGTGGAAACTGTCCATGCGGTCGGAGCTAAGTTCTGCAAGACCCGCCGCAGAAGAACACAAAAACTCTCCGATCACACTCTTAATCTCATGGCTGTTAGACGGGAGATGAGGCTGCAATCGTCAACAGATTTGACAGCATACAGGCAACTGAACAGACAGATCTCCAAATGCATGCGGCGAGACTTACGCAACTTTAATACTGCTCGTATTAAAGAAGCGATCGAGCGGAACCAGGGCTCCAAAGTCTTTGCCAGAGATCTGTCTGCCAGAAAGAGCCAACTGTCAAGGCTGAAGACTGAGTGTGGCAACATCGTTTCCGGGACACCTGAGATTCTGAGTGAGATTGAGAGGTTCTATGGGCAGCTGTACACATCATCGTTGGAGCCACACGCAAGTGTGAGTAACGATCCAAGAGCAAGTCTTATCCGACACTATTCCGGTGATATCCCGGACATCAGTCTGAGCGAGATTAGAATGGCTCTCCACCACCTTAAAAACGGCAAGGCCCCGGGCGAGGATGGAATTACAGCAGGCTTCTGAAAGCGGGTGGAACACCGGTACTTGAAGTCCTTCAGAAGCTCTTCAATTCCGTCCTCCATGGTGGCACTACTCGGAGGCGTGGAGCAGAAGTGCGGTGGTCTTGTTCTTTAAGAAAGGCGACAACGCTCTCTTGAAGAACTACAGACCGATTTCCCTTCTGAGCCGCGTCTACGTGCTGTTTTCGAGTCATTTTCACGACTTCCAGCCTCCCGAACAAGCCGGTAATTTTAATAGCTAAGGAAAAATTTAAAAACAATACCCACACTTGGCAAATTTTTAATACATGATGTGTGTATTTTCAATACATATATACATATGTTATTATATATTCAAAACCAAAATGCATCGTTTATTTTTTCTATATCTTGAAAGTCATCTGTACAAGCCAGTCATCAAACCGCTCTATACGTAAATTTCGTAGTAGGTACGTAAGCAACCCAAATTAGATTCGAGCCGACTCCACTCGTGTGACACTCAGGTTTCCTTTCGGAGTTTTTCTTCACACACAGTAGTGAAGAAAAACTTCGCAAGGAAACATGCGTATCTAAGAAGTTAAAAAAACATTTCGGAAATCAGTTTTAGGTATAGATATGTGAAGTAGGTCTTCCCGCGTTGGATTCAACTTAATCAACTCCTTTTTGACCTAAAACTCGCTGTGGCTTGTGCCCAGTAGTGGGATGAATTTAGGCTGCTACTTTTTTACTTTTAATGGTGCTTTTCATTGCTGAACATAGGCTTCCTCCATTGTTTGTCAAATAGACCGGATGTTTACAGTATTGAAGCTTGGCAAGCGAGATGGCAACTGCAGCTTTTTATTACTTTGCGCTATTATGAGGTAGATGCTGCTTCCATTCATCCTCCTGTGTCAGTTTTCCTGTCACCTCTTACGACACCCACGAACAATAGAACTAAATTTATGAAATTTTGAAGTCTACTCCAACATAAAAATATACTGACATTTACTTTATGATGCCAATCAATATTCAATGCAAATAATTAACGCTTATAAACACTATGCCGTGTATTATTGAGACCATCGAATCCAACATTATTTTGGTCAAAACTATATCAAGATTATACTATATAAATATTATGTATAAGTATTATGTATTTCTGATTCTAGGGTAATTTACCCTTCATAAAGACACATCAAAAGACATGCCCGATTTAAAAAGGTGTCGCTAGACGTATGATATTAATGTTACTCTGATAATCTAGCTCCAATTTTCCTAATTTTGGCACGAAATAGTTTTAATGTTTTTAAATGAAAGCCCACGCGGGTAAAAAGCTAGTATCATATATTTTCGCACATTACGTACTTACCATACTGAGTATTTCATTTTCATTGGAATCTAGTAACATTATGCTTTTAGACATTATTGACAAGATTGAATGTGATATATTTAAAGCAAATACTGGTGCTGGTATCTGCCGCAATGTTATTAAAGCATCCTCTGTGGGAACTAAGTTTGTGTTTCCTCCCGTGATTTGTTCCAATTCAGCGTTCACCTGATCCTGTGATTCCCTTAACTCTATTGAAACCTATAAAAAATTAAAAATATAATATGAAGTTTGCCAACATGGCCAAAATCGGTTAAATATGAGTTGTTTCACTTTACCTTATTTGCTTCGTGCACCAAATCTATTGAGAATAATTGGGCACGTCTTTGAATTAAAGTACGTGTAATACATAGCAAAACATTTAAAGCTTCTTCTGAGTGACCAGGTTGCTGTCCATCTGCTATCATAACTAATGTCTGCAAAACATAAATATTTTTAGAAATAATCTTTATACAAACATAGGCGTAATAATAAAAATGGTATTACATACATTTATTATTGTAGGTCTATTTAGTAACGTCTCGGGTGGGTAATCAGATATAAATACTTCACGAATGAACCTACAGCATCTTCTTGTTGATTTAACTATTTTTAATGCATCTTCTACCAGAACTATTGTCTTTATATCTGATGGGCAAAGGTCAACCCAAGGAAACAGTAGTACCATAATACCATCCGATGCATGTGGCCTAAAAATAGATAAATTCCAGTCCCTTAAAAGCTATGAAAATTTTGTTTTTCTTAAATTGGTTTATAAATTGATAGTATAGAATTGATTAATGAAATATAAAAAAAAATATGTATTGCAAGTAGTATTTGCTTAATAATTTACAGCTGTAGCCAGCTCCATTAAAGCTATGAAAATGTAATGATTTCTTATATTTACGCGAATACTACACATTTAAATAATACTAGCCGTTACCATACATTAAAATTTAACTTTGTTCCGATGATTGATTGATGATTGCACCCATGGTCACGGGAAGGACTGAGATGTTCAACGTCCAGATGTCATAGTTAACCGCGGTTACCATACATTAAAATTTAACTTTGTTCCGATCTACACAGTTCAACTTATGGTATCTTGAAGTCTTGCAGTTGTATGATTGGGTTGAGATTGGATTTTATTTATTATAGGATCCCAAGCAGGTTGTAGCACCCAGCCATCTTCTCAATTGAAATTAGGATGTTTTTTTTATTTCAATAGCCTCGCGAATCATCCTTGGAAGGAATCGGTGTTCTTTAGCAAGGATTTGTGGTCTATCAAATCTGATGTAGTGACGGGGGCGACCCTGTATGTGTTCACAGACTGCAGACTTCCCAGAGCGTCGATTCTGTTTATTTTTCATTAATCAATTCTGAAACTTTGCTTTTCAATATCCTATCCTATTTCATCCATCCGATATTTGCATTGGCCGACACTACAAAGTTAGGTGTATCTTTTATTTAAATTAATATATATTTATTGATTTTATTCAAAGTATTTTTATATAATCGATAATCATATTTAATTTACTTACAATATCTCATGGTCAACCGCCACATCACATGTTAAGCTACATAATATATCTTCTAATGAACCATAACATTGATCCGAGTTGCCATAAGAGTGTATGCTATTAGATGTTGATTTGTTTTCAGAGCTGAAATAATAAATAATATTTTAAGACTACATGATCTCCTACAACAAAAGATTTATTTTAATTTAATATATTTATAAAAATGCATAATTTTAGATAGCTAAAAGATATTAGTAAGCTGACCAAGTAGACATTTTACGTGGTAACTTAAAATTTGAAAAACCCCCAAAACATAAAAAGCTGATCATCTTCCAATGGCTGAACACATTTTGATAAAACATGTCTAAGGCCGTTTTCCAACTTGTCGGTACGGGATCTTTAAGGTCTGTACTGAAACGATACCGCGTTGCCTTCAGCTACTCACTTATCGGTATAAAATCCTGTAGTACCGAATGTGTCGTCTTCGAGTGATGACGATATTTTGGCGTGCTGTTATGTTTGTCGCCTACGTAAAAAAAGAAAACGTTACTGGCGTCATCCATATATCGAAAATAATATAAATTGTCGACTATTTGTTGCGGCCCAAGAACTATCCCAAGATGAGGATTTTTTTTATTGATGTATAGAATATCAAAAAAAACTTACGAAGAGCTTTTGAATTTGTTGACTACACTGTTAACAAAGCAAAATACAAGGTTTAGAGAATGTTCAATTTCTAGTAGCAAAACGACGTGAATATATCGCTCCACCATCTTGTTTGCACGACTGTGCGCGGTAAATGTCGAGCGGCCGCTGGACACGCATCCCGAGACGCGGTAAAACGAAACGATCCCTCCCCGCTCCCGCACATACCGCGCCAATTAGAAGACACACATTAAAATATATGCGCTCGGCAAGCTTTCGGTACCGCGTATACCGAGCGAAACGAATCCGCACCGCCCCGCACCGACAAGTTGGAAAAGGGACTAGAACAGCCGCCAGAAAACCTGGTTTAAAATTAAAAAAACCGCACCCAAATCGGTTCACATACACAGCGGCGAATCTTATAACACTCCTCTTTTTCGTCTCGGGTAAAAAACTATAAAATTGAATGAAACCAGTGATAAGTCACATGAATGTTACATGACAATGTTGAGATGTGTCATTCCCATTCATTTTTACAGTTTTTCTACCAGCGTTGCCAATTGTTAAAAAGAAATTGCGGTTGGCAAGTCACCTGCCAAGCGTGGCAATTATGGCAAAATGCCCCTATGAGACAATGTATGAGGGAGGCCTATGTTCAGCAGTGGACCCGTATAGGCTGTAACGGATGGAACGGATGGATGGATGAGCCTAGCCCTCTTATATCCAGCGGCTAAGATTAATCGCGAAGTTTCAATATAAAATTCACCACGCGTAGATCGCACGGACTGACAATCTCCTAATAATAAATATAATTAATGATTTCTTATATTTACGCGAACACTATACATGATCAAAACTACTTTTACGGATTTTATCGCGTTTATTTTTGGTCCCATATCGCGTTTATTTTTGGACCCATGGTCATGGGTGCTGAAAAGCGCCCGAAACGTCAGGAATCAAAAATAAAAGTAAATAAAAAGTAAAAATAAACGCGATAAAATCCGTAAAAGTAGTTTTAATCAAATAAATATAATATCTTTCATTTGATTCATCTTTGTTTGGAAGGTTTATTTATATATTTTATTTTAAAATCTTTATTGCATTCCCTTATAAAAAATGATACAAAAGGCGGACTTAAATACTTAAAGGCATTCTCTACCAGTCAAGCCATGAAATAGTGAGAATTTGACTAACGTGTAGCAACTGAAAAAAGGAAAAGAATATAAACTAAAATAAATACACATTATATGTAACAGAATATGTTATGATATAATATTGTGATTAAATACATATGTATTCATATATTTACATAAAAACATAAACACTCACGCCTGTCACCCAGAGGGGTAGGCAGAGACTACAGACTTCCATTTGGCACGATCCTGACACACCTCTCTCGCCTCCTTCACATCCATACACCTCCGCATACATGCTCGTCGGTTAAGGGTACTCCTAATTTGGCCCGTTTTCAATAAATCGCCAATTTGGTCGATAAATTTTCGCCTAGGACGTCCCTTTCCGACTCTGCCATTCACTTCTGCAACATAAATTTTCTTTGTCACTCTTTCCTCATTCATTCTTTCCACATGACCAAACCACCGAAGCATTCCTTTCTTAATCCTGGTCACAACGTCATCTTGCAAACCACACTCTTCTCTTATTACACAATTTCTTACCCTGTCATTAAGATTCAGCCCTAACATACTCCTTAACGACCGCATTTCTACTGCGTTCATTCTACTCTCGTGCTTCTTCTGCCACACCCAACTTTCACTACCATATGTTAAAGTAGGGACCAACACAGCATTGTGAATTGCCATACGTGCCTTTTTCGACACATTTTGACTCTTCACAATAGAGTGCAGGGCCCCATTTACTCTATTTCCCGCATTCACTCGTCGTTCTATATCCTTATCATATCTCCCATCCCTGCTAAATACGCAGCCCAAATATACAAACTCATCTACTTGCTCGATCAACTCCCCTTCTATTCTTATTTCACAAATCGTTTTACTTTCTTCTCTTTCAAAAACCATAACCTTCGTCTTACTTGCGTTCACTTTCATACCCCTTTCTTTTAATGATCTGTTCATTAATGTAACCATCATTTGCAACTCGGCCGCCGACGACGCAAGTATAACTTGATCATCGGCGTACAAAAGGCATTTGACGGTTAACTCACCCATTCTTAATCCGCATTCTTCAACTTTCAAATTTTGCAAACAACTGTCCATAAATAGGTTGAACAGCCACGGGGAAGCTACACAGCCCTGTCTGACACCTTTATGGATGTCAAACCAGTCCGAGTAGACCCCGTTGATCCTAACACAAGCACTAGAGTCCCTATAAAGGGACTCCAATGCCCGTATCAAGCCAGCGCTCAACCCAAATGAGTTCAGTGTTTGCCATAGCACATCCCTATTCACTCTGTCATAGGCCTTTTCCAAGTCCATGAACGCACAAAAAACCTTTTGGTTTTTGGCCAAAAACTTCTCCGCGATCATGCGCATGGAAAAGACTTGATCTGTACATCCCATTCCCTTTCTAAATCCTGCTTGCACATCCCAAATTTTTCCATCAGTTTCTTTCATGACCCTTTCAATCAGTACCTTAGCATACAGTTTTCCCACAATGCTAAGAAGGCTGATGCCACGGTAGTTTTTACAGTCCTGCTGCGACCCTTTTCCCTTATATACTGGGACTATCACGGCTTTGCACCAGTCTACCGGTACCCGCTTCAGTTCCCAGCATAAATTAAACAAGGTGTGCAGCAGGCCTGCCACCACTTCCTCTCCAGCCCTCAGCATTTCGAGTGAAACTCTATCATATCCGGCAGCCTTACCTGCTTTCATGCTTTTCATTGCTTTCATTATTTCACCTACACTAATCTCGCTACCTCTTTCCTCTTCTTTCGGAATTTCTACTTCACTTAGTACACACGTTGTCTCCTCACTCATAAACACACTTTCAAAATATTCCTTCCATCTCTTTAAACTCAAAACTTCATCATTCAGAATATAGCCATTCTCGTCTCTTATAGCATTCATCATAGGCTGTTTTGAATGTCCCCTGGCAGTTCTTACAAGTTTCCAGAACATTTTAATATTTGCCTGGAAATTATCCGATATTCTTCTATCATTCTTATCCGTTCTTTCTTGCTTTTTTCTTTCAACTACTTCTTTTACTCTCTTATTAAGATGTCTAAAGACTGCCTTTTTTCTTTCAATATCATCATTCGTACCGCTAGAATTACCAGCCTTTGTTGCTAGTAAATCTAGCCATGCTCTCTTCTTTGCTTCAACTTCCATACGTACCTCATCATCCCACCATAACGTATTATTTTTCCTTTCATTCTTTCTCTTACTAACACCACATACTTCGGTAGCTGCATCCACTAAACCTTTCTTTACATTTTGCCATACATTCTCCAAGTCTAACTCCTTCATACATAATTCATCCAAACCACTTATATTTTCTTTCAGTCTACATTTGAACTTCTTTTTCTCACCTTCATCTTGTAACCTTTCTGTTCTAATACGCTGTAACGCAGTGGTAGACACAGATGACCGATGGCGCCAACGCCTGAATAGACCATTAATTCGGCATAGAACCAAATAATGATCCGTTCCTACGTTAGAACCCCGGTAAACCCTTGTATCCACAACTGCGCCCCTCAATCTTTCATCCACAATTATTAAATCTATCATGCTTCTATCGTCACCTCTTTCCCAAGTATACATGTGAATCCTCTTGTGGCGAAAGCAAGTGTTCGTCACAAAAAGATTCTTTTCCATACATACGGTGAGGAGACTTTCACCATTCTCATTTATACTTTCATCACCAAACGTTCCCAATATCCTTTCATAACCAAGCCTCCTCACCCCAACCCTTCCATTAAAATCTCCTAGCATAATAATATTTTCATTTCCCTTACACTCCATTAACACCATCCTTACCATTTCCCAAAACTGCTCTCGGATATAAGTGGGCTTAGACATGTCTGGGGCGTAGACCCCTAACACAAACAACTTCTTTAAGCCCACTTTCATTCGTATCCACAGCAGTCTTGGGCTTACACATTCATACTCTTTCACACATTGGCCCATTCTTTCTGAAAGGATGATACCTACTCCCTGGCATGCCCGCTCGATCTCGTCTACACCAGACCAGTATGCGGTATACATGCCATGTGTAGTGACATCCTTTCCCTTCCTTTCGTCTCATTTACACATAACACATCTATTCCTCTATCATTCATCATATCGCATACTTCATCCATTTTATCATTCATTGCCCCACATACATTCAACGTAGCCAGACGGACCTCTGCAATCCACTTTTCGCCTCTCCGGGAGACAGAACGTGACGGGTGGCGAACCTCGTCGCCGGTTTTCCTCCCGGAGATTCTTCGCACCCCTGCCCCATTAAAGGGGCGCCGGGAACTCCATTTCTATTATATTGTTCCTCATGGTGCGGATAAAGGGTGGTATATTTTACGCCTCTACCAGGGCGTGGAGCCGAGTCTGTGCTATCGGCTTGTCGCTCATTTAGCACCACCCGGGGGACACGTGTAGGGTGGGCCTAGGAATATTACATATATTATATAGTATAGTGTATATGTATTCATATATTTACATATATTAATATATATTGATTGCTTTCAACCTGTTACTAGCCACTAAAATTGCTTGGTATTTCACTGGATTGACACAGACTCCATAGCGAAAGGACCAAAACAATGAAAGAAATGAAAGATAGGTGTATTCTTTACACTAATAATAGCCGAAACAAACGTAATTTCTTATTTGTAAATAACTACACTTTTACCTATATTTTATTTCCTATATGATAGTTGGCAGGTTGCATGATGTTTAATCAGTATTAATAAAAAGTAGTTTGTCATTGAACAGTTCTAAATATTTTTGTTTGTCATCAGAAGACCTGGCAGATAATAGTTTCTTAAGAAGACGTCCGCCGACGAAGAGCTTTTTGAAAGAGACTCATTAATAGAAGTCCTGAAAGTATTTAATTTCGTTCAAAGAAATTTAGCAGCAGATGGCCTGAACACATGTTGCTGGCATGTTCAGAGGACGCTGCATACAGGGCTAAACATTTCGGCACTCCGGGATCACTCCCAAAGTTGCTCGCAACATCAAAGGACTATTGAACTTCTTCGGGAAGATTTCATGGCTCGAATTATTCATAATATTCCTGCCCGCGCGCAAAATACGCGCCTAAACGTGAAGTTGCGGAAAACAGCCCGTCGTAAACTAAACAAAACTAAACTTGCCTTGTAAAATAGCTGTTTCTTCCAGATCATATAAGGTAATTTGTATACTAAATATTTGAGATAATCATTCTAACTACTTTCTATTAGACTCCAACAGGAAGTCACTAGAACACAAAGATATCCATGTCAGGGTGTAAGTTATTTTTTTTATAGTAAAAAGATTTAAGTAAGAGTGTAAAAAATAAAAATCATTTACTTGTCACCTTGTGCTGGATGCTATTGAAAGTGGTGGTACCATCAAATCATTTTCCGACTCCACTGTATTCAAGAAACGCAAGGTATCGACGACATCATTGAATGTTTCCATTGCTTCAGGCTCCACTTTAACTTTTATCTCTTTTAAAGTAGACAGAATATTTTTAATACCCAACTCCTTGGCAATATATGTTCCACTTTTAGTCTGTAATATAAAAACAAATTCACTTTAAACAAACTTTTACCTTCTGGAATATAGTCCAAAAACGTCTTGCCTAAAAATCCTGGTCATTTGTGCTTCTTACAAAATTCCCAGTGCCCCTAAAAGACAATAAACTTTTGCTTTTTACATTTTTGTTATTCTTCTAGAGTATGAGTGAGTAAATCTTGGTAGGTATAATTAAATGTTGTACATAAATTTATTTTTCGTTTCACTACGAATTTTTTTCCTTGTAGAACCTCTTTGTGGAATTGTTTACCACCGTCAATTTTTCTGTACCGATATAGCTTAGGGACCTTCAGGAAAAGAGCTTATTCCTTTCTAAAAGACCGACAACGCACCTGCAAATTCCCTGGTGTTGCAATTGTTCATGTGCGGTGGTTGTCACTTACCATCACGTAAACCGCATGCTCGTTTGCCCCTCTCTTCTATAAAAAATAAACTAATAATTACAGTATTCTGACAGACAGTATATTATGGGTTTACTAATGGAATGTTACTAGTTTATTCAAATTATTACAATTTTAGTCAGCTTTCCAGATCTCTAAACAGACATAAAAATTTAAAACAAGAATTATTCTTTGATTATCTTATATTATAACACTTATGTATATAAGTAACTTAATTATAACTTACAGGCTAGATGCTAATTTCAAATTCATTGTAACCAAACAAACTGAATTGAATCCACAACAATAAAATTTTCATTCTTTCATTGCAGCCTGCATATCTGCATATTTATGTAAAGCTATGCAGATATAAAGCAAGATATGATGCATATCTAAAGTCCCCTGCTACATAGGCCTGATCCATAGATTACCTGATAGCTCAGATATTTGCCATAGATTTCCTCATAGTGTGATTGCTTGCCATAGTTAGCATGCTATGCAGGTGGATTGATTTATTATTATTTAAATTGTGTTCAGGAAAATAGGTACTGCTGCTCATCTCCTGTTTTATTTCCCTCTATCGCCTCTTGGTGTAGTGGATTCTCTGTTCATCGCAAGTTTTAAGTGCTGATAACCACGAACGTCAAGTAGGGTCACCTGGGGTAAGTGTGACATAAATTAATTAAAACTATAATCGACATTTAAATACTTCTACTCTGTAAGGATTTAACATAGAGAATACAGTTTCATAACATCAATCATTAAGTGGTTGTATGTTTCATCGAGCATTTTAGAATCTACAAGTAGAATTTTATAATTTGAGGTAATTAAAACTAATTGAGGTGGAAGACTGTCGCTCTTACCCGTCAATGGGGCAAGTGTGACAGCACACTTCGTTTTGTAGTTACTTTATTATAATCTGTGGTTTTCGACAAAATTGATGAAATGATACTAACGTCGATATATTTGATGATCAACAAAAACAATTTGAACACCCATTTTTGTGTAGCAATGAACTTTTTCCGACATGGGGCAAGTGTGACTATTTTTAACCAATAATATACAAATATAGTGATATACCTTTAAATAGATTTATGGATGTTTTGTAAGTATAATAAAGGCAATGCCAAGTGTAAAATAAAATTTAATTCAGAAATATTAACAATTTATAATAATTATGATTACACATAATGCTTTAGTACTTTATTATATACATATGCTATTTTAGATAAATAAAAACTTATGAATAAATGTATTATTCGGTTAAATTTAAAAGAAAAAAACGTCATCTTCGTTCTTTAACAAAAAAAAAAACATTGGGTTTTCTTCAATTTTGGTCTACATAATGTTTATAATACAATACTTTAATATTTTTACCGATCATTATTTTCAATATTCTGTACTCCCAACATAATACTGCCGTTTTTTCTTCTCATTATATCGCACTTAAACAGTATTAATTTCTTCTAAAATCAAATTATACTTATATCTTCTTCTGTATCTGTTACGATAACATTTATTATATCTGCTTCTGACATTCTTTAACATATTTCTTTGACATGTATTTATTTAAAAAAGTATTTACTTACTTAATTATAAATACATACAAACACACTGGTAAATATCATCCTCCTTTTTTGAAAGTCAGTTAAAATGATAGAATGTCCCATCACTAGTTACAATATTCTCACATAAGATGATCGGGGTAAGTGTGACAGTGTCACACTTACTTAGTGTGTTAGGTATTAGGTGAGGTAAGTATAACCATCCGTATTTCAAGGAATAGTGGATTTCAGGTCACAAAAATATATTATTCTATAAGTACCAATATTATTCTTTATCACTCACATTGTATCTGGTTTAAAATAACTTAATGACGTATCGAAGCTCTTAATAACTTCACATCCTAAAATTGCGCTGTCTGTCGCCAGTTGAGTAGTTTTAAAAAATAACATCTGTTGATAAAATAGTTGAAGATATGTACTTAACTGTCAGTATAGATAATAGCGTAAAATTTCTTGCGTTGTTTAATAGATGGAATTTAACCAAAAAACCATGCTTAGGTCACAGTATTTGCATTTGTTACACTTGCCCCACTGTCACACTTGCCTCTCTTCACCTTATACGAAATGAAATATCATAAAAAAAGAATTCCTAAGAAATTTAAAATATTTTGCTCTCCCTCCGTGCCTACAGCTTTACAAAAACACTCTAGGGGTAGGGCAGACAAGACTATGTGGAGTCGGGGTGTGCTAATTCGGTTTTAGAACCGATTCAACCAATCTTATCTATAAAGTTGCCCTAAATTCTGCTATGATAGTGGTAAATGAAATAATATAATGTGAATTGTTATAATTTTGTTTTCTGATAAACCTCTTGACTGCTCTCCACTGTGACTCAATTTATTGTACATAAATCTCATCTCCAGCCACAAATGGATTGTCTGGGTCTGAGTGATTAACTTTTTTATGAGTGTATCTGTGTTAAAAAAGCAAATGGACATACTTGCCTTTCGTTATTGCAATTTGTAGTGAAATTTATTTATATCGTAATTAATTCAAAAGGCATTTCCGAAATCCAAAAAATCAAGTACCGGACATCTACTTCATAGTACAAGAACAAATTGACATATTTGCATTTTGTTATTACACAATTTTCAGTGAAATTTGTTTTTATCGTAATTAATTGAAAACGCATTTCCGACATCTAAAAACAGTGTAATAGGTTCCAACTAAACCCTCCCCCCCGAACGGGTTCCCGCCTTGTCGTGGCGGGGGGGCTTAGTAGCCGTGGCTTGGTCTCCCACGGTGAACAAAGAGGAATCCACGTGGCTGGCCCGAGGTGAAGGGCCGGCCTGAGGTGGCCGCTCCGAGTGGGCTTGGGGAGCCCACTTCGGATGTGTGCTGGTGGACTGCAGCGAGTGGGGACTCGCGCACCCTCTACCGCTGCAGCCGAGGTGGAGTCGCGGAGGAAGAGGAGTGTTGGTATGGCGAGGCGCCACTCGCCCTATCCTTTGCGACTCAAACGGGGCCGCACCGTTGAGGCGGTGGTGGTGGGGCTGCGGGGGGGAGAAGATTGTCGGTATTGCGAGGCGCCGCTCTCCCTACCCTCCGCAGCCGAATCTTGGTTGGCGGCGGAGCCATAGACCAGATCCGCCGCTGGGGTCGGGAAGGCTAGTACTTCTAAGTGCTCGTTTTTCCTGGCCCCATGGCCTTTGTGCATCGGACGCGGGGGCGTCTGTTGCACAGACGTAGTTGGAGGCCGTGGAGGAAGGCGCGCCATGTGCTCTGGTGCGCCTTACCTGGGAAGGAGAACGGGGAGGAATTTTCCTCTCCCGAGGAGGTGCTGCCATGGGGCGGCAGGCGCTAGTAGGGCCGCGGATGTGTGCGAAAGCGTTCCCGTAGCCCTGCCAATATGCGACAAAGGTGGAACACCATGGGGTTTTAGTCGGTGCGAGTCCGACATAACCCGTCCTTGCCCCCGCGAGGCGGGTATGCGTAGGGATTTCCCCATGCAAAAAAAAAAAAAAAAGGTTCCAACTAAACCCTAACAAGCCTCCTAGACTAAAAACATTATCAAAATCAAGTACCGGATGTCTATAGCCAACCCCATAATATTATAGTAGTAATCTGTAGAGTAATAATCTTTGAAGATTTGCATCATAACGCAATATATATAATTGATATTTACTTTGATAGTCCTTAAAAGCAAACTGAGTGCTTCATGTTGCAGCGTTGGCTTCTGGACTTGAAACCAGGACAGTAAGGTCTGTAAAAGTTTACGTGTACAAGCAAGTTCATCTTCCATTTGCCATCCCAGTGTTAACTTTGCTGTTAGAAGTTGAAGAGACCTTTCTCGTATTTCTCTCATAGGATGGTCTATAATATAAAATAAATATTTATTAGTTATTGTTGAATTGGCATCATGGTGATATGTGGGCTATTATTACCAAAATAAATATTGCTACAAAATTCTGAAAGCTCAATAAAAAAAAAACTCTATCATTTTTCAAAAGTGAACCCAACAATACAGCTTTAATTTATCAATTAACAAGTAATGATGTCTTCTTAAAATTATTTATACAGGGTTACTGCGATGGTGTAGCAAAAGGAGGGGTGGGGTAGTCATGGTCCCTGTCGACAGATTTTAGAAGACGGCATTTTGATAAAGAAAAGACAGCTAAATTTCTTTAATAATGCCATTAAAAATCTAAAAAAAATATTTAAAAAATGCTCTTACTACATCCGAATAAAACAAAACAAAACCTGTAGTATAAAGTTAGTAAAAATTTACGAAATACCACCTAAAGTAGTGGTCGTCATACTGCGGCCCGCGACAAAGCAAACAAATTTAGGAAATTATATCAAAATATCATCTACTAAACACATCAAGTATAACTAAATAGAAGTACGCAGGTAGGTATAAACTTCCTCCTGCAACTTGCTCTGACTGTGTGGGTTGCAGAAAGGGGAAGTCACGGCAAAGGCGAACGCAACTTCAATTTCAATTATTTGTTTTAACATACTGCATAGAACTCTTGTCAATAAATTACGCGCGAAGTATTCTTATTTATAACATTATACTGGCGGTAGTATCATCAAAAAGTGCTACTAAAAGGAATTTAAGTGACAAAAAATATTTTTTTAAGAAAAATGGCAAGAATAATTTTGTTTTATGTGGACATATGGATGGTACTGCAATTTGTTTAATATGCCATGAAAGTGTTATCGGAATAAAGTGATACAATTTATTTTGCTACTATACAAGTAAACACAATTCATTCACTGAAGCCTTTCCTTTGGAATCAAGTGAAAGGGAGAATAAATTAGCTGCTTTGAAATCTGCAATTCGTCATCAACAAAATATTATGACAACAGAAGTTGGACAAAACAATGCTTTTAAAAAACATCTTACCAAGTTTGTTACATGCTTGCAAAAAGAATGAAACCTTTCACTGATGCTGAATTAATAAAGGAGCGCATTTTAACTGTAACTGTTTGTTTTAAACATTTTATATACTAATAACCAAATAACGGTGGAAGTAAAAAAAGCTTACGCTTTCTAAATCAACCTGTCTAAGCTAATTTGCCGTGTAGTGGCGGTTGAGAATATCCACTACCCCATATCTTCCCGTGGGTGTCGTAAGAGGCGACAGAGAGAGACAGGCAGGAGATGGGCAGCAGCATCTTCCTGATAACAACTGTGTTATAATAAAAAACTGCGGTTGCCAACCCGCTCGCCAAGCGTGGCAACTATGGCAATATACCCCCCATGAAGAATTACACAAATAGACGGCCCCCAGTCCCCGGCGGTCCTGCTATTCCTGGCTACGGTGGCGACCATGGTAACGGAGGGGCAGGGGGTGCTAAGAATCTCCGGTGGAGGTTCGGTTGCCACCTACGACGACTCGACCTGGCCTGGATATAACGCACGCACCCTGAGGACTGACGAGAAGATACTGGAGCTGGAAGAAGAGGTAGACAAGTTGCGCTGGCATATTATTGGATTATCCGAGGTCCGAAGAGAGGGGGAGGATACGGCAATCCTCGAGTCCGGCAACTTGTTCTACCACCGGGAAGGCGACCATCTGTCCCAAGGAGGTGTCGGATTTGTCGTCCACAAGTCTCTCGTCAACAACGTTGTAAAGATTGGGAGTGTGTTGACGAGGGTCGCGTACCTGATACTCAGAATCACCAAACGGTATTCGCTGAAGGTCATACAGATTTACGCACCAACCTCGGCACATCCCGATGAGGAGGTGGAGGAAATGTATGAGGATATTTCCAGAACTATGCATTCCTCCAAAACCCACTACACGGTGTTGATGGGAGACTTCAACGCAAAACTAGGCACAAGAGAAAGCGGTGAGCTGAAGGTGAGGAAATTTGGAGTAGGGCAACGGAACCGAAGGGGCCAACAGCTGGCCGACTTTATGGAGAAAAAGGGACTCTTTATGATGAACTCTTTCTTCCAGAAGCGGCCCCACAGGAAGTGGACCTGGTCGAGCCCCGACGGTTCGACAAAAAATGAGATTGACTTCATTATGACGACCAGACGCCAACTGTTCAGTGATGTCTCAGTGATCGCAAGGGTGAAAACTGGCAGCGATCACCGAATGGTTAGAGGCACACTGAACCTAAACGTTAAGTTGGAGAGGTCTCGTCTAATGAAGTCAACGCTCCATCCCCCTCGTGCTCTAATCCAGAATCCCGAAACTTTTCAGCTCGAGTTACAAAACCGCTTTCAGTGCCTAGAGGATTGCAATGCGGTGGACGATATGAATGACAAGCTTGTGGAAACTGTCCATGCGGTCGGAGCTAAGTTCTGCAAGACCCGCCCGCAGAAGAACACAAAAACTCTCCGATCACACTCTTAATCTCATGGCTGTTCAGACTTTAATCGATGGAGATGAGGCTGCAATCGTCAACAGATTTGACAGCATACAGGCAACTGAACAGACAGATCTCCAAATGCATGCGGCGAGACTTACGCAACTTTAATACTGCTCGTATTAAAGAAGCGATCGAGCGGAACCAGGGCTCCAAAGTCTTTGCCAGAGATCTGTCTGCCAGAAAGAGCCAACTGTCAAGGCTGAAGACTGAGTGTGGCAACATCGTTTCCGGGACACCTGAGATTCTGAGTGAGATTGAGAGGTTCTATGGGCAGCTGTACACATCATCGTTGGAGCCACACGCAAGTGTGAGTAACGATCCAAGAGCAAGTCTTATCCGACACTATTCCGGACGTCATTCTGAGCGAGATTAGAATGGCTCTCCACCACCTTAAAAACGGCAAGGCCCCGGGCGAGGATGGAATTACAGCGGAGCTTCTGAAAGCGGATGGAACACCGGTACTTGAAGTCCTTCAGAAGCTCTTCAATTCCGTCCTCCATGGTAGCACTACTCCGGAGGCGTGGAGCAGAAGCTGGTCTTGTTCTTTAAGAAAGGCGACAACGCTCTCTTGAAGAACTACAGACCGATTTCCCTTCTGAGCCGCGTCTACGTGCTGTTTTCGAGAGTCATTACGAATCGTCTCGCACGCAGACTCTACGACTTCCAGCCTCCCGAACAAGCCGGTTTCCGAAAAGGCTTCAGTACCATAGACCACATACATACCCTTCGGCAAATTGTACAGAAGTCCGAAGTGTACAATCTGCCACTTTGCCTGGCGTATGTGGACTATGAGAAAGCCTTTGATTCCGTCGAAATTTGGGCGGTGCTACAGTCTCTTCAGCGGTGCCTAGTTGACTGTCGGTATATTGAAGTGCTGAAGTGTTTGTACAGTAGGGACTACGATGGCTATCCGAGTACAGAACCAGAGTACGAAACCTATCCAACTGCAGAGAGGTGTGAGACAGGGTGATGTCATATCCCCGAAAATCTTCACCGCTGCGTTGGAAGACGTTTTCAAGCTACTGGACTGGAAAGGATACGGTATTAACATCAATGGCGAGTACATCACTCACCTTCGATTTGCCGACGATATAGTCCTTATGGCAGAATCGCTGGAGGACCTTAGCACTATGCTCAATGACCTCAATGGTGTCTCCCAACGGATAGGTCTTAAGATGAACATGGACAAAACAAAGATCATGTTTAATGTCCATGTCACACCTATGCCGGTAGTTGTTGGGAGCACTATGCTCGAAGTTGTTGACGAGTACATTTACCTGGGACAAATAGTCCGACTACCGATCAATCGACGGATTCAACTCAGCTGGGCGGAGTTCGGGAAATTACGACACATCTTCTCGTCAGGTATACCTCAATCTCTGAAAACTAAAGTGTATAACCAGTGCGTGTTGGCAGTGATGACTTACGGATCTGAGACGTGGTCCTTCACCGCTGGCCGTATGAGGACGCTCAAGGTCGCTCAGCGAGCTATGGAGAGGGCTATGCTCGGAGTTTCACTGCGTGATAGACTCAGAAATGAGGATATCCACAGTAAAACCAGAGTGACCGACATAGCCCAACGGATTAGTAAGCTGAAGTGGCAATGGGCCGGCCATATAGCTCGAAGAACCGATAACCGATGGGGAAGAAAGGTTCTTGAGTGGCAGCCTCGTACCGGTAGGCGTAGTGTAGGGCGACCCCCCACTAGATGGAGTGACGACCTGGTAAGACATGCAGGAAGTCGATGGATGCAGGTGGCTCAGGACCGTGCTTTGTGGCATTACTTGGGGGAGGCCTATGTTCAGCAGTGGACTTGTGAAGGGCTGTAATGATGAAGCCAATTTGAAGAATAATCAAGAAACATGTTTGAGGCAGTAATTGATAGGTTGAAAAACTGCAAATACTTTAGTCTTGCGTACGATTCTAGTATGGATATATCTTCTATATCTCAGTGCTCACTTGTGGTACTGCACTATGGACGGATTCATAGAAGAGGACTTCTTAGCTATCATAACCATGAAGAGCAATACGAAGGGTTGTGATTTTATGGAAGCTCTGAAAGAATTTGTCGAAAAGTACAGTATACCTGTGAATAAATTGATATCAGTGTGTATTGATGGTTGTCCATCAATATTGGTTTCAAATAATGATCTTATTGCCTTAATGAAGAGAGAATTGAATATGCCTAATTGACTGCCCATTCACTGTTTGCTGCATCAAGAAACCTTGGTTTGTCAAATTTCGAATAATAAATTGAAGGATGTAATGAGTATTCATTACATTCTCATAAACATAATCAATTTGATTCACGCACATGAACTAAACCATCGAAAATTTAAAGACCTAATTGAGGAATTACAAGCTAATTACGGTGATGTAGTCCTACACACCGCCGTTAAAGCAAAAGTCCTGGAACGGTTCTTTCATTTAAAATCCGAAATAATTCTATTTTTACAAAAAACTGGTAAAGAATATCCTCAACTTCTCAATGATGAATGATGGGCAGTGGCAACTTTTTTGGCTGTTATTACCATGAAGTCTAATAATCTTAATTTAGAGTTTCAAGGGCCTAACAAGATAATCTGACAAATGACGAATAAAATATTTGCATTTAAATTTAAACTTCAATTATATATGAATGAGGTCCAAGCTGGAGACTTTTCTAATTTTCTAACCGTTGCAGCTGTGCAATCAGAGGTGTCTATTTCCCATAGTATTTATCAAGATATGGTTTCCTACTTAATGGAATATTTGTCAGAAATTCAAAAAAGATTCAATGTAGTGAGAAATATTAAGAACTATTTTATTCTTGTAGAAAGCCATTTGTATGATCTACTAATATTTGTTTTGTGTGCTCTTTTTTTCTGTTTATATGCTAGTTAGTTCTTTGAGTTGACAAATAAAGACTTGACATTAGTCACATTTGTCAATTGCCAGAAAAATCTATGGGGCAATCGGGTTGACAGCTCATAAAAAATATGTCAATTGATTGGTGGTGTCAACTTAACAATCCAAGAATGTGCGGCCCGCTGTGACACCTCACATTGCCCTGTGTGGCCCTTGACCAGATAGGTGTGACAACCACTGACCTAAAGCATAAAAGAGAAGAAACATAATTGTAAAAATAGAGCCAAGTTTACTATGAGTGAACCTGATTTCATGATGAAAAGATACAATAAATTACTGGGAATAGGGGGTAAATAAGATAACTTCTGGATATATTAGAAATGTTATACTTTAAGGAAATACTAAACATCATTTTATTTTTATATTCTTTCTGTTTAATTAAGTGTCTGTATATTATATTAATATTACGAGAAGTTGAAACTATTACATACATTTCAGTAGTATTAGAATATAAACAGTGGTCCACTTATTGATTCCATAAATCTACGTGAAATACTACACATGGAATAAAACAAATTTTACGGATTTACCCGCACTCTCATCTCGCGCTTAATCGTTCTTACCACAGAACACTATTACTCCTATGGTTCTTACTTGCACATTCAATTGCGATGTGCGAATAAGAATGCAAAGAACTTAATTTAAAATTACCTAATGAAATTAGTAAAATTAAATGAAGTGAACATATTTACCTAATTTTTTAATATATGTTGATAAAACTTCTGTAGAACACATCTTATAAAATTAGAACAAAATGATATCTCATTTTCACCTTATACCTCTTTATAAAAAATTAATAGATATAGTGAGATATAATACAAAAATGTACATCAAAAACTAATAAGAGTACTAAGCTACCACCGTATACAAATGATTTATTTTGAAATTGATGTTTTCATTCGCCGTACTCGTGATGACAGGCAAAGGCAAAGGTCTTAAACCATACAGACTAGATACAAACCAAGTTTGATTTATATTTAATTCAGCTTAACCTTGGCTTAACTTAACAGACAGATTATGACGATAAAGCCGGTTGCAGACCAACAACTAAGCTATTTCGAAGCTAAACAAAGGCAGCTTAGCTAAGCTAAGCTAAGATAAACTAAAAATATGTCCCGTGTAAGAACTAAACAAAAGCTCAGTCATAGATAAGAGTGTATCATAAGCTTCTAGTATATACACAGTAATCTATGATAAGCTCAGTCAGTAGAGATAATAACATAAATAATTATATACAATAGAAAATAAATAATTAACAAAGGGAAAATTTTCGGAGAGGTGCAGTGCTTCATGTATTCAATTGAATGGCAAAACAGAGGATTACCGCATGCCCACATTCTAATATGGCTTAAAGAGATGTTGCGGCCAAGCCAAATAGACGACATAATAAGCGCCGAGATTCCGGATCCTGAGCAAGATAAAGAATTGTATGATTACCATCGTCCGAAATATGATTCACGGTCCATGTGGAGCACGAAATTCAATATCGCCGTGTATGAAAGAAGGAAAATGTACAAAGAAATTCCCTAAACAGCTATTAAAAGAAACAGTGCACAATGACAATGGACTATATAGACAATATAGACAAAGACAAATGGATATACAGACGCAGAGCTCCTGAAGATGGTGGCAGGAAAGTTACAATCAAATCTCGCTCTGGAGCGTTCGAAACCTTAGATAACAGCTGGATTGTCCCGTATTCGCCCATTCTACGTAAAATGTTTAATGCCCACATTAATGTAGAAGCATGTAGCTCTGTCCGCGCAATCAAGTATATCTGTAAGTACATAAATAAAGGAAGCGACCAAGCAATATTTAATCTCAGGAGTGAAGGTGAGGCAAATCCCGTTAATGAAGTACAGACCTTTCAAGCAGGGCGTTATGTCAGCAGTAATGAGGAAGCGTGGCGTCTCCTTGGCTTCCCTTTACACGAAAGGCACCCAACAGTTACTCACATTGCTGTGCACTTAGAAAATGGAGAGCGTGTATATTCCACCGAAAGAAATTTCCAAGAAAGAATTGCATCACCGCCAAAAACTACACTAACATCCTTCTTTCAACTTTATCAAACCGACCCCTTTGCAAAAACTTTGTTATATTCTGAAGTCCCCCGCTATTATACTTGGAACACATCTAGGAAGGAGTGGAAACGCCGTATTCAAGGCGCGCCTGTTGCAAATTGGCCCGGTGTAAAGTCATCAGATGCCCTTGGTCGTGTGTATACCGTCCATGTAACTAATTTTGAATGTTTCTGTTTACGATTGCTACTGCACCATGTTCGGGGTCCTACAGGATATAAAGACCTTAAAACTGTCAACGGTCAGGAATGCGCAACTTACAGAGAAGCATGTGAAGCTCTGCATCTTTTAGAAAACGATAATCACTGGGATGAAACCATGGAGGAAGCTGTGCAGTGCCAGTCACGAGCCAAAATTAGGGATCTTTATGCAACTCTCATATCATCTTGCGAGCTATCTAATGCACATGAATTGTGGGACAAATATAAAGAGTACATGGCGGAAGATATTTTGCGAAGGTTACAGCAGACACACGCGAACATGACATACAATGAACACATTTATAATGAAGCATTTGGAAAAATTGAAGATAAAGTAATGGCAATGGAAGGCAAAAAATTAAGCGACTTTGGTATGATAAGCCCTCTGCGAACAACCGAAAATGAACTAAGTGATGAAATTATACGTGAAACAAACTACGATATACCAGCTTTGCGGCAGCAAGTAGCCGAATTTGTACCTCCTTGCTTCCCAAGCAAAAAAGGGTTTTTGACAAAGTATTAGGACAAATTGAATCTGAAAATGGTGCACTTTTCTTTTTAGGTGCCCCTGGAGGAACTGGGAAGACATTTTTGTTAAATTTATTGTTAGCGCAAGTGCGGAAAGATAAAAACATTGCTGTGGCCGTAGCTTCCTCCGGTATAGCCGCCGGCCTATATCCGGTATAGCTAAGCGGGGGCCGCACTGCACATTCTGTTTTAAAACTCCCTCTAAATCTAGCCCAGGAAGAATCGCCGATCTGCAACTTTAGCAAAAATAGTGCACGAGTATATCACAATGCAAACTTTTAGTTACAAAGTACAATGTCGCATAAAAAAGCTGTAGAAGCACTAAATAGAACGCTCCAGGATTTGCGAAGCAATACCGATGTAATGGAAGGAATGGTGGTTTTACTGGCTGGTGACTTTCGCCAAACTTTACCTGTCATTCAAAAGGGCACACCTGCAGATGAAATTAAAGCATGCCTCAAGTCGTCTATTTTATGGAACAAGGTGACAAAATTCAGTTTAACTACGAATATGAGAGTGCATTTGTATAATGATATCAATGCTGGAAACTATGCTAACACACTATTAAAAATTGGCGATGGGCGGTTGGAAACGGATGCTTAGGGCTGCGTTAAATTGACGAGAGATTTTTGTAATTTAGTACAGAGTCATTCCGAATTAATTGCGAGCGTTTATTCAGATTTAATGAACAACATGCATGAAGACAAATGGTTATGTGAAAGGGCGATTCTTGCACCAAAAAATGAGAGCGTTAACAAAATAAATTCAGATATATTAAGCAAAGCAGCAGGAGAAATAACAGAGTATTAGTCAGTAGACACAGTTATGGACACAGAACAGAGCACTTCATATCCCGTAGAGTTTCTTAATTCTCTAGAGTTGTCAAGTGTGCCTTCACATAAGCTTCAATTAAAATTAGGCGTCCAAGTCATGATAATGCGAAATTTAGATGCTCCTCGGTTACGTAACCGAATAAGGCTGCGTGTGACACATCTTGGACGGAACATAATCGGTGCTACAATTTCGACAGGTGTAGGAAAAGATGAAAATGTTATCTGACCACGGATCCCTATAATTCCCACAGATCTTCATTTTCAATTCAAAAGGTTGCAGTTCCCTATTAAGCTCAGTTTTGCAATGACAATTAATAAAGCGCAAGGGCAAACGTTACAGGTAGCGGGGGTCAACTTAGAAAAACCGTGCTTCTCTGATGGTCAGCTGTATGTAGCATGTTCGCGTGTGTCAAATGCCCAGAATCTCCATATTCTTTCCCCGAATGGAAAAACATATAACATTGTGTACAGTAGCGTCTTAAAATAGTGTTCAGTTAGTTTTTTTTCCAAAATTCCCACAGTCAATTAATCAGAATTCCCACAGATCTTACCTTTCAATTCAAAATTTCCTATTTAGCTCAGTTTCTTTTCAATTCCAAATGCTGCAACTCTGACGGACCTATTAAGCTCAGTTTCCTTTCAACTCAAAAAGCAATGGATAGTTCATTTCCCAGTAACCATGCGGGCGAAGCCGCGGGTAACAGCTAGTTGTATTCTAAATTTGAAGCTTCTATGTCTGCTAGAAGTGCCTTAGAGTTTTGATGATCGGTCAGTCAGTGAGTGACAAAATTAAGAAACTTTGTCTTGTTATAATTCTTAACTACTGGTTGCAATTGATTGAAATTTGAAAATATATCATGTTTATACAATGCCTACTCGGTTACTGAAAATTTAGGCTTCTAGTTTTGTTGACTACGAAGTTATAGGGGTTCGGGTGTAAGGGGCTCCGCAAAGTTTTGGAGCCCAAGCCAACCCCGCCTGCACGTGGCGCACCTGCTGGACAACGGAAAGGGCTCTGGCGATGCCACTCCTCTGGAATTCGTCCTAGGGGTTCGGGGGTCAGATGGCAGTCGCCTCGGTAATTGGCACTAAGCCACTCAAAAATGGAAAGTAAAAGAAAGTGATATACATTTAGGACTAGGGCGTCGTCGCATAACGACGCGTATGGGGATCGCCTTAACCCTGCGACAAGTATGCGAGGCGCTACCGGGCCCCGTGCGAGCCTGGCTAAAGACTTTAGCACCAACTACGAAAATTCGCTTTGCAAACTGGAACATTGGCACGCTTACGGGACGTTCCACAGAACTTGCGGCCATACTTGCCAGGCGTAAAGTGGCAGTGGCGTTCCTGCAGGAGACACGGTGGAAGGCCAACAGGAGCCAGAATATTGGGCACGGCTACAAGCTGATCTATACAGGCTCTTCTGATGGGGAGAACGGTGTGGCAGTGGTGCTCGCCGAGCATTTCCACCATAGCGTCTTGGAAGTTAGACGCATATGCGACCAACTTATGGTAGTAAGGTTGCTAGGTCGTTGCTTAGTAAGTGCCTACGCCCCACAGGTCAGCTGCAGCGACGCGGATAAGACGCTGTTTTGAGATCGGCTCGGAGATGTACTATGCGGCATACCGTTGTCCCACGATGTCGTTTTGGGTGGCGACCTGAACGGTCATGTGGGCGAGGTGCAGGGGGAGTACGAACGTGTCCACGGCGGCTATAGTGACGGCCGAAGAAATGCAGAAGGGGGAAACCATTCCAGAACCTGCTCTTCAGCTGACCTGACCGTGGTGAACATGTTCTTTAAAAAGAAAACCGAGCACCTGATTATCTACAGGAGCGGTCGGAACGCCACTCAAATCGACTATCTACTGACCAGGAGAAGTCATAACAGTTGCGTGGCCAACTGTAAGGTCATACCCGGTGAGTGTCTCACTGCCCAACACCGACTTCTTGTCATGACAGACACGCTGAAAGTTGCCGCCGTCAAATCAAGTGGTGGCTGCTGGATCAAACCAGATACTCAGAGTTTGACTCTGCCGCTGGGGATATTAGTCTCGACACAGCAGGCAAGTCAGTCCAAGAGTGCTGGAAAACCATTCAGACAGCAATCACGAAGACGGCAAAGCAAGTCCTCGGCGTGGCGAAAGGGGGTCGCAAAATCGACAAGGAGACCTGGTGGTGGGACGCCACAGTCCAGGGTTCATTACGGGAGAAGAAAGTGCTCTTCAAGATGTGGCAAGCGACCAAATCTCCTGAAGATCGCGCATCTTACAAGACATCGAAAAGAGCTGCCGAGAAAGCTGTAGCCAGAGCCAGGCGTGACCACTTGCAACCATTATATGCTAAGTTGGACACTCCTGAGGGGCACAAGCTCATATATAAACTGGCGTGCTCTAGGGCCAAAGCAGCGCAAGATATTACTCGCTGCTGCAGTGTCAACGGCCCTAATGGCGAGCTCCAGACGATGATCGTGCGGTGAAGGAGAGATGGCGCTCTTATTTCCACGTTTTGCTGAATACTCAGCACCGGGAAGGGTGCACTTCCCAAACAACTCCCAAACTATGGACTCGTGGCACCGATTACGCATGACGAGGTCCTCGCATCTCTTCGTCACATGGAGAATCGGAAAGCTGTCGGACCGGACAAGGTGCCAATTGAAGCGTGGAAAGCGCTGGGGGCTCGTGGGGCGTGCATTCTTATTAACCTTTATAATAGAATCTTGAGCGACCGAATAATGCCCGACTAGTGGCGGCTTAGTATATTAACGCCGGTCCACAAGGTTAAAGGGTCCGTTCAGGATTGCGGTAATTGCCGCGGTATAAAGGTGACGTCACACATCATGAAGCTTTTCGAGCGCATTATTGACACCAGGATCTGACAGGAGTGTACAGTATCGGACTCCCAGTACGGTTTCCAACCAGGACGCGGTATCGTGGACCCTATATTCACCCTAAGGATCCTCATGGAGAAGCACAGGGAAAAGAATATGCCTCTGCATTTTTTATTCCTAAACCTGCAGAAGGCCTTTGAATGTCTTCCTAGGGAGATGATCTGGTGGGCGTTGCGGTCGAAGATGGTACCAGAGACCTACGTGGAAATCGTACGTGACATGTACCGCAACTCCGATTCAATAGTCAGGACCGCTGTTGGTGATACAACCCCCTTCCCCATAACCGTAGGCGTGCATCAGGGCTCCGTCTTAAGCCCCTATCTCTTCAGTGTGATATTAGACGAACTGTCAGCCAGCGTACAGAAACTACCGCAGCCTTGGCTGCTTATGTACGCTGATGATATCGCACTGGCAGATGGGACAAAGGACTGCTCACCAGACTCATGCACGCATGGAAGGAGGCGCTTGAGAACGGCGGGCTGAAGCTAAACGTGGCGAAGATGGAGTATATGGCCTGTAACAGCACAGATCTGACGTCTCTCCGTATAGGTGACGACACCGTCGAGCCACGGACAACTACAGGTACCTCGAATCTGTGCTTGATGCGTCCGGGGACATAGATCGCGATCAAGGCCTGTATATCAGCGGCCTGGGCGATATGGCGCGAGGTGACGGGTGTCATTTGTGACTCCAAAATGCCGGTCAAGCTGAAGGGACAGACTTCAAGTACCGGTCTCCACCCGCTTTCAGAAGTTCCGCTGTAATTCCATCAGTTTTTAAGGTGCTGGAGAGCCATTCTAATCTTGCTCAGACTGATGTCGAGGAAATCATCGGAATTGTGTTGGATAAGACTTGCTCTTGGATCATTACTCACACTTGCGTGTGGCTCCAACGATGGTGTGTACAGCTGCCCATAGAACCTCTCAATCTCACTCAAAATCTCGGAAACGATGCCACCACACTCAGTCTTCAGCCTTAACAGTTGGCTCTTTCTGGCAGACAGATCTCTGGCAAAGACTTTGGAGCTCTGGTTCCGCTCAATCGCTTCTTCAATATGAGCTGTATTGAAGTTGCGTAAGTCCTGTCGCATGCATTTGGACATCTGTCTGTTCAGTTGACTGTATGCTGTCAAATCTGCTGATGACTACAGCTTCATCTCCCGTCTAACAGCCATGAGATTAAGAGTGTGATAAGAGAATTTTTATATTCTTCGGCGGCGGGTCTTGCAGAACTTAGCTCCGACCGCATGGAAATTTTCCAAGAGCTTGTCATTCATATCGTTCACTGTATTGCAGTCTTCTAGGCACTGAAAGCGGTTTTGTAACTCGAGCTGAAAGGTTTCGGGATTCTGGATCAGAGCACGAGGGAGACGAGACCCATTCATTAGACGAGACCTCTCCAACTTAACGTTTAGGTTCAGTGTGCATCTAGCCATTCGGTGATCGCTGCCAGTTTTCACCCTCACAATCACTGAGACATCACTGAAAAGTTGGCGTCTGGTCATCATAATGAAGTCAATCTCATTTTTTTTCGAACCGTCGGGGCTCGACCAGGTCCACTTCCTGTGGGGCTGCTTCTGGAAGAAAGAGTTCATCATAAAGAGTCCCTCTTTCTCCATGAAGTCGGCCAGCTGCTGGCCCCTTGGGTTCCGCTTCGTGCCCTGCCCCAAATTTCTTTAACTTCAGCTCACCGCATTCTCTTGACCCTAGTTTTGCGTTAAAGTTTCCCATCAACACCGTATAGTGGGTTTTGGAAGAATCCATGGCTCTAGAGATATCCTCGTACATTTCCTCCACCTCCTCATCGGGATTTGCCGAGTAGTGGCGAAGCTAGAGCTCCAAGCTTGGGCAAGCCCAAGATATAAATTATTAAAAATATAGATTATTGTTTTTAGCAGTTTTATAAAAATACACCAATCTTGATCTGTCTCCATGCTTCAATTTCATATTCAGTGCTGTCAAGGACGTGTTTAACAAAGCACACAGAAGGCATACTACTGCTAGATAGCGATTATCACATATCAGCAATTGCATAGCTTCGGTGTCTTTGAAGAAAGCCGTTTGGGTTTATTTAAGCGAAAGAAAAAAAATATTTACATCCAATACAATACATAAACAAAAGTAAAACACGAACAAAGTATAAACAAACTATGTACAAAATTAAAAAAAATTATTTACATTCCAATGGATAAGAGATAAGATAAGATAAGTGGAATCGTCTCGCTCTCTTATGGAAAGATTTAATTACGTCCACGTAAAATGTTGGTGAACGTTTTAATTGTACCAATAACTGTTTTTAATTGCGATAATTGTTAAATCTGAAATACACTCTTAACCTTGTGTATTATCTCAACAAAGTTTAAAGATTTCCTCTCCGATTATCACTTTAACACACTTCATTCATCACAAGGAACACTATTATTCTCCATTTTCATTAAAAATCTTTAAAAAAGCATAAATTTTGAACTCGCAATATTAAGTCGCTTAAGATAAGCACACAGAGTAAATAAACATTGAAACGTGAAATGAACTTGCAAACGTATTGCCCGCGCGCCTACGCTTTTAAGGTTGCCCTAGTCGAAGTGGTGGGCGGGGTAAAAATGCATGCTATCTCAGCCGACATCACATGCGAAAGGGATAGACGCTGTGATGAGCAGTAAGAAGCTAGTGCGCACACACATACGCACTCGAGTGACGCAATGCGAGACGGCGTCATCGCGTACTTACCTATGCGATTCATTTTTAAATAATAACATAAACTCAAATGGCAATTTGAGCTCCGTATCGCAGTGGCTTAGCAAGTGCGCTGGGCGCCGCGGGTTCGAATCCCGCACGGAACAAATATTTGTATGGCCTACAAATAGTTGTTCCGGGTCTGGATGTTTGTCCTTGTGCAATTTATGTTTGTAAACTGCCTCCACGATACTGGAGAAAATCCTACTGTGGGGGTAACGTATTTTAAAAAGAGAAAGGAGAGAGAAAACAAATTGGTGCTATTATAACTTAGGATCTGCTGTGTGAAACGTAATTATTATGAACCCAATTTATGTACTTAGTTGTTATTATGAAAGTTCTTATGTGAACTTAAGTAGATGTTGTTATTATATAATAATTCCATTGATTTGTTTTTACCTACTTTTTAACCGACTTCGAAAAAAGGAGGTGGTTCTCAATTCGTTGGTTTTTGTTTATGTATGTTCTGTCCCCCGATTTCTCGAAGATGCCTGAAGCCTGAACCGATTTGGAAAATTATTTTTTTGTTTAAAAGGATATATTTTCCAGATAATCCCACGATAATCGATGATGGTCAGATCAGGATCTGATGATGGGATCTCGGAGAAATCGGGGGCACTCTTCAATAAATGACAGCAAATCAACCGCGATTGCTGCTATCGCCTATCTAAGCATTCTTTACACAATCGCACAATATAATATCACGCCTGTACCCACTAAAGGGACATAACTCTCAACTAAAAACGGTAACATAAAAAACTTTTTTTGAAAAAAATATAACAATTTCTAAAACAAACACAAAAAGGTGTATGTTACACCACATACAATTATGTTTTCTTTATGTTTTTGTATTTTACTGTAGGTTATGCAAATATTACTGTAGGTACAATGTATTCTAAATAGGTATTTACTTTCCATAGCTAGTTAGCTATAATAGCCCACAGACAACTCCCCGAAGTATATGTCAACCAGTGTC